CAAGCCACAACTACTGAGCCCACGCTCCACAACTACTGAAGCCTGTGCACCACAACTACTGAAGCCTGCGTGCCTAGAGCCCGTGCTCTGCAACAAGAGAAGCCACCGCAATGAGAAGCCTGCACACCGCAACGAAAAGTAGCCCCCGCTCGACGCAACTAGAGAAAAGCCCATACGCAGCAACGAAGACCCAATGCAGCCAAAAATAAATAAATAAATTTTTTTCTTTTTAAAATCCAAAGCTTCACAGCGTCTGGCAGCCCTGCTCACCTGCAGGACTCTGGTGCTCGGAATTCGAGAGCCTTGCACAGCGTGTACCCTGGAAGGAAGCCCAAGATAAGATTAAAGTCAAATGAGAAGAGGCCGAGTAGCATCATGGAAAAAAACACTGAAGTCAGAAGACCTGGGTTTTGATTCAGTCCTGCTGTCATGTACTAGATGTGTGACCCCGGGCAAACCCATGAGCTTCTCAGAGCCTCAGTTCTCAAATCTAAGGACCACAACCACGGGTCCTCCTACCTTACAAATGCAGTGGGGATAAAAGAGAGTAGTGGATGGGAGGGCACTTTTAAAAGTCATGTACCAGGAATTCCCTGGTGGTCCAGTGGTTAGGCTTCCACTGCAGGGGGCCCAGATTTGATCCCTGATCAGGGAACTAAGATCCCACAAGCCGTGCGGCACGACCAAAAAAATAAAAAATAAAATAAAGAAAATCAGGCCAGGGGACTTCCCTGGTGATCCAGTGGTTAAGACACCATGCTTCCATTGCAGGGGCACGGGTTTGATTCCTGGTCTGGGAACTAAGACGCCGCATGCCACGCGGTGCAGCCAAATAAATAAATAATAAAATAAACTTGTTTAAATAAAGAAAAGAAAATGAGGCCAGGAAGATGAGAAGCTTAAAAAAAATAAAGAGAAAGTTGTGTACACACATGAAGTATTGGTGGCTCAGGCACAGAACTCCCTTTCAAATATTAGTCTTGATGTACATGTACATATGTATATATTTATATGTGTGTGTATAGTTAAATGAAACATATATATATATATATATATATATATATATATATATATAGTCACCTAGAATTACCTGTAACACAGATATAACCATTTAAGTGATTTGTATTATCTGTGTTCACATATATAAATTTCATACTGAATCTGATTTATTCTGGATGTATGCTGGAACAAACCTGGTCACCAGAGGGACTTCTCTGGGTAACAGTGGTTAAGAATCTTCCTACTAATGCAGGGGACACAGGTTCCAGCCCTGGTGCAGGAAGATCCCACATGCCGTGGAGCAACGAAGCCCCCGAGCCACAACTACTGAGCCTGCGCTCTAGAGCCCGCGAGCCACAACTACTGAGCCCGCGTGCCACAACTACTGAAGCCCGCATGCCTAGAGCCCGTGCTCCGCAACAAGAGAAGCCACCGCAATGAGAAGCCCGTGCATCACAACGAAGAGTAGCCCCCGCTCACAGCAACCTAGTGAAAGCCCGCACGCAGCAACGAATACCCAATGCAGCCAAAAATAAATAAATAAGTAAATAAATAAAAACTTGGTCACCAGAAATGGTCAGGGCATTTAAGGAAAGCAAAAGGAAGATGTGCCTGAAAGTACAGAGGCCACAAGGGAAGATAAACCAGCTGTCTTGATTGATGGTTGCTGCGACCTTGGACATGGAGTTGACTCTTTCACGCTCACAATTTAACTGAGGAAACAACAACTTAACCAGAAACAACCAGAGAACAAAATAAGGCAGTAAAATCACTCGGCCTGGGCAGACTGCACGCTCTATGTAACGACTCTAGAATTTTAAGGAAAGGAAGGAGCATTAGAAGTGGGGTAATCAGGAAAAGCTCCATGGAGATGAACACATACACTCTACTATATATAAAACAGATAACCAACAAAGACCTACTGTATAGCATAGGGAATTCTACTCAATATTTTGTAATAACCTATAAGGGAAAAGAATCTGAAGAAAAAAATATATATACGTATGTGTAACTGAATCACTTTGCTGTACACCTGAAACTAACACAACATTGTAAATCAACTAAACTTCAATTAAGAAAAAAAAAAGCAAAGTCCCATGGAGGTAGGACATCTGGAGCTCAGAGGGACAGACAGAATCGGAAGGAAGAGGATGGGCCAGGTGAAAACACGCAGCAGGAATAAAGACAGCAGCCTGAACAACATGGGGTTTCTTCTGTAGCAGCAAGCTCGCCCTTCACTGTGGCTTAGTTCTCCAGGAGAGCTGATACGGCTACTGAAGAGCCTGAGGAGAGGACAATGCATTCTCTGCCCCATGGCCTGGCCTGATAACCTGGCCATTTACTGTGGGAGGTGGTGTCATTTTGTAAAGCAAGGGGAAGAGCCACATGCAGGGTCAGGGAGCCACACTCCACTCGGCCCCCCTCCACTCCTTTTCCTTCCACCTCTTCCAACACGATCAACATTTACGCAGCACCAACCATGCAAGGAACTAGGCATTGGAGAAAAAGACCAATAATCAGGGCTTCCCTGGTGGCGCAGTGGTTAAGAATCCACCTGCCAATGCAGGAGACATGGGTCCGAGTCCTGGTCCGGGAAGATCCCACATGCCGCAGAGCAACTAAGCCCGTGTGCCACAACTACTGAGCCTGCGCTCTAGAGCCTGCAAGCCACAACTACTGAGCCCACGTGCCACAATTACCTAAGCCCGCGCGCCCAGAGCCCATGCACCACAACGAAGAGCAGCCCCCACTCGCCACAACTAGAGAAAGCCCGCGCACAGCAATAAAGACCCAATGCAGCCAAAAAAAAAAAAAGAAGACCAATAATCACCTTGGGGAGTTAGATATAAAAACAGGTTAGACTGAAGCAGCTAAGGACCAAATAAGTAATATTGCTATTGCTACCAAAAAAAGGCGAGACGATGGGGGGCTAGTAAGGCTGTGGCTGGAAAATGGTTTCTTGGACTAGATGGTGCTTGTCCAAGTCTTGAGGAAAAATTAAGATTCAGAAAGCAGAGAGTTAAGAAGGGGTATTACAGACCAGAAGTGTGAATCAACACTAGAAGGTAAGCACTACGATGTGAATATATTAATACTTAACACTACTGAACTGTATACTTAAAATGGTTAAGACGGTACATTTTATGTTACATGTATTTTATCACAAGTAAACATTTTTTTCATTTAAAAAACCAAAAACAATAGAAAACAAACCAAAACACAGGTGCTTCCAAAAAAAATGTAAACTGATATGAATACACACTGCCATTTGTAGTCAATAAGCTAACCAGTCTGATTTTGTAGAAGGTTCGTGTAGAGAGACATCAGGAGATTCGGTAAAGAAACAAACTGAGGGACTTCCCTGTTTGTCCAGTGGGTAAGACTCCGTGCTCACAATGCAGAGGGCCCGGGTTTGATCCCTGGTTGGGGAACTAGATCTCGCATGCCGCAACTAAGACCTGGTGCAGCCTAAATAAATAAATAAATAAATATTTAAAAAAAAAAAAAACAAAAAAGAAAGAAACAGACTGAAGGTGGATTGTAGGAAACCTCAGGCTAACAGATGGCACTTGATTCTCTCAACCAAGGTTTCTAACTTTGTGGTCTAAGGACGGGCTTCAAGTTTTGGCCTGTGAACACCCTGTAATAAACCTTGAAAGTTTGTTCACAGGTGCATTTTGATCTGGGGAGAGGGCAAATGGCTGTCAGATTCTCAAAAGGGTTTATGACTTAGAAAATTTGAAAACCATTCATAAAGCCAATTGGCAGTGTGGTCTGGGTGGGGATGGGACAGGGGTTGAGGTTACATAAGTTGAGCTCACTTCCCTTGAGACTTGCAGTTAACTAAACACCAGATAGTATTATATAAATGGATGCCCTATCTCTCTTTAGTACTTAACAGAGCTATTGTTAGGTATTAAGAACAGCTCATCTGGGAAAGCTGGTGACCCCTATTGGAAACTAGCAGAGGGTGAGCAGAGAAGAGAACCCAGTAAAAGATAGGAAATAAGAAGATTCAATACATTAAAATGCCATAGAAGCCAAAGAAAAGAAGTCCTGGAGAAGATGAAGTGGTTACCGGAGTCAAGTATAAGAGGAGGATTAAGAAAGATAAGCAATGAGGAAAAAAAGATATCTAAGTTCTATGACCTTCAGTTGCACGGTTTCTGGAGAGCGATGCAAAAAAGCTCAGAGGTTAAGGGTAACATATCCAAACTAGGAGACTGGGAGAGCAAAGGAAAGTGCTATAATTATGACGTGATAATTATGTCAGAACATCAGGCATAAACCAGGAGTGTCCTGGACGAATAGACATACAGTTAGTTACCTAGTTAAGGAGGAAGTTAGTAGCACAGCCAGGAGGGCAGCAGATACCATCTGTTAACTCAAAGGATTTGGCTGTGAAAAGGAAAATAGGATGTAAGTCAGAAGAACTAGTAGGGATAAGAAAAGGCTTTATCAGTTACCTATGTGGGAGAAGGGAGGACTTCTGATGTTGTAAAGGAAAGAGAAGGAGTGGACAAGAGCATCCTGTACCCTCCATCTCGCTGAACTTCACAACGCACACAGAGGGCCCTCAGACATTTCTTGTGTGAATGTTGACTGGGACACCAGCCCTCCAGGAGGCGGCAAAGACTAGAATAAGCAGGAGTGGAGAGGGGCCTTTCTCCCTTTGAAACTATATGGAAGGAGAAAAGAAAACACCATATGACAAGAAAAGGCAGGCCAGAGCGCTGTATTTCAACCTAGTGAGTATCGGAGGATCGAGGTGTCAGAGAAGAATGCTTTTCCAAACTGGCCTTCACTATGGCCTTTTCTTCAAGGGAAAAAAAAAATAAGAAAGTTAACTCTTAGGAGTTCTTTAAAGCTAACATGTATGTAGACTGCCAGAAAGAGAACAATAGGAAATATACCCATAGTGCAAGATATAATTTCATTCAGTGCTGAGCAGTTGTTTTATTTATAATTTCATTTCAGGTACAACTTGGCGGCTACAGAGAGGTCAGAGGAACACCTGTCCAGCTAAGTTTAAACTTGAGAAAGAAAACAATGGTTGGTGTCAGGATACGCAGATGTGACCACGCTGATTACGTAGGGGGAGAGGAAACTCTCAGCCAAATGTCAGACAGGGTCTAAATAATCAAAATGGGGTTCATCTAGAGATGATTCTTAAATTACAACTAGGCAGCTCATCCAAACTCAGCACAATCTTACACAAAGGGGAAGGGAAGGCTTTCACAGAATGTAGTAGAAATAGACCTGTACAATCTGGCAACACCGTAGGGTCAGTGAATAGTCACCAGGGAACACTCAGTAGCAGGAAATTGCAAGGCATGAGTCACATTCTACAGCGCGGAGCTCACGGTATATATAAAATAACCAGGTGGACAGATATTTATTATAAAAGTCAGTTTATTTTCCCTTTCTGTGTTTCATATTTTCCCTTTTTGTCAGTAATGAGCAATTAACTGATTGGAAATCTGCTTGATTAAATAACATTAACAAGTTCATAAACGCACCACATTTGAGAGTATAAAGCAAAAGGTTGAAAAATATTCCCTAACCCAATGCAAATTAGGCAGCCCTCAAAATTGCAGTTTTCACCTGTTACCTTCCATAATTTAAAATATATATACAGTATGACCTTAAAATATTGATAATTAGTATAGAATTCACAGCCTTGAAGACATATATTCTACAAACTTCTAAAGAATAGATACCTAGATACACCTCAGGCCCTAGTAATCCATTAATGTGATTCAAGGTCACATACTTAACACTTACAGGGCCAAAAGGTCTTTCTTTTTTCTCTAATTCTAGTCTTCTGCTGAGGTAATGCAAGGAACCCAGCTGCGACAGAGATCAATCCTCTGAAAATAGGGCTAAGCACATTAGCTTCCTAGTGGATCCTAAAGTTCCCAGAGAACAAATCTGGGGTTGAGTACTTCAGTCGTAAATTACACACTGGCATGTTCACAATTGAGGTACCTTATGGTCCTTGAAAGGAAGACTAAAGACTTCCAGGAGCCAAAGGGAATTCTGAATGAAGACGGAGGAGAACAAGTTGACAATCACTTGAAGATATTTCTGCTTCTGGAGCTGAACGACTTTAGAGCAGATACAGAGTGACTGAGCCAATCAGCATGTAGTGTGATTTTTCCCACCGTGGTTAACAAAGGGATTCTCTGTCCAAGCAGGCTTACGCTGGACCCAGCTAGAGTGCTTTATCCGGATTTGATGCTTCAGAGATGAGGCACGCTCTGCAAACTCATGACCAAAGCAAAATGCAACGATCCTTTCTATTCGTGGAGCACGTCACTGATACAAACCATGCCTGACTGCCTTGTGGTCACTCGGCTTTCCAGACTGGAGAACTTGGGTCCAAGTCCAATACAGCATTTACGGTTAAAGGGATAAACCTCCACAGGCCAACAAAGACACTGGCAGATTCACAGGCCATTCAGTACATTCATGAAACAACAGTGATAAAAATCATTAACAATAATTCCTGTAGTGTAGAAAAACAGCCCAGCCTTCACTCTGGTCAGCATCTCCGGTGGCTGACACTGTTGAAAGAGGCTTGACAATCTGAGGTTATGCTGGAGCTCTTAAGACAACCCCAAAATAAGGTGAATGAAAAGAAATAGTCCTGATGTGTCTCCTATTATTCTTGTTCTTTTGTGGGCACCAGTCACCCACTCAATATGCGAGCTTCTCGTCTTTGCATAAGATAGCATATTTCCCTCACTATTAATGGTGAAATAAATAGAATTGTGCAACTTGTCTGTGAAGAGAAAAAAGCATTGAACATGCAGTGACAAGTTAATTAATTCTGTTAGAGCATCATGTTTTGAACATAATAATGAATTTGGACAATTACATTCTTTTTGACTTCATACAAGGACAACTCAATCTTTAATGAATTAGAAAATGATTTTGAAAATTACAGTTAATATTACAAAATACTTAATGTTACATTACAGTCTCCAAAAAAAGAACTAAGGTACACAGATTAAATAACTCATAAGTAGGGCAGAAAATTGATACTGGAGCTCAGATTTAAACAGTGTTTCTTCTAACAGATTCAGTTTTCTTTCTATTACATTTCTAGTATGATCATACCAACACGTTCATCAGGAGATACTTCCCTCTACTCAGAAGTAGATGACCGAGTTATACGGCCCAGTCTGTAGAAGCTGGAGGGCACTCAGGCAGAAGAAAGCATCCTTTGTGATAGCAGAGTACATAAGCCTTAAGGCAGCTCCAGGGGATTCCAGGTGCTGAGCTATCCCAAAGGCTCCTTGGATAGGCTGGAGGACAGCATCTAGACTTGGGCAATGGAGGCTGCCTCCTATTAGGATGCCCTAGATTTAGGGACAGGATACTGAATGCATCCCCTGGTGGACGAAGCCATCACCAGACTCTCAAGTAGACCTGTCTTGAGCACCGTCTCAATATGTGATAAGAGTATGTCACATGCTTATTCAAAAGAGAGCAATGTTTTAAAAGCACAAGGCCTTATTCTGTATTGGCTGTTTCCCAGAAAGTATAGAGTTCCAGCCAAGAATGTCGAAGGCACAACAGATATTTTCTCAAGAGATTCGAAGTTCATTTTAGAACTTGCACACCACAGTGTTAATTACAGCAATGCTTCTTTTTTAACCCTATGTGGCTTGGCATACACATTTCCTTCAGAATTCCCAAATTATATTTAGCAGACAGAGAGTACTCTGGAAGAGTTCCCTGATTAATGGTTGGGGGTATAAGCCTCTCTTCATTTTTTCTGGAATTATAAATGACAATACTCATTAGACTCAGGTCAAGGGCAAACTAATAGCCCTTTCCTTCCTTGAAAAATGAATGTGTCTTTCAGAATAATAAAATGTTACTTTTCACAAAAGAATCTTTAAAAGCGGTCAGCAGTTTTGTTGGTTTAAGAAGTGATTTAACCATAAAAAGAAATGAACTATTGATACATGCAAAAACATGGATGAATCTCAAAATAATTATGCTGACGGAAAGAAGCAGGCCAAAATACATAGTGTATGATTCCATGTATATAAAACTCAAGAAACCGCAAGCTAATCTATAGCAACAGAAAGTGCTCAGTAGTTACCTGGAGAGAGGTGGGATGGTGGAGAGGCAAGAGACAGGGATTACACAAGGGCCATGAAGAAACTTTTGGGAGTGATGGATACATTTACTGTCCTGATCGGGATGATGGGTTCACAGACATGCATGCACATATGTTAAACTGTACGAAATTTTACTTGTTAAATATATGCAATTTATTTTAAGTCAATTATTCCTCAACAAAAAAAAAACTACTTTGCGTGTAAAAAAAGTGATTTAAGTAAATGCTTTGAACTAATTTAATTTAAAAACTACTAGTTTAAAAAAAACAAAAAGGGCACACACTTACCATAAGAATGAAAAAGTAGAAAACCCACATCCATCCTAGGTTGTCCTGGATCAAAGACACTAAATACTAAAAGGGAGAAAAAGAAATCACAATATAATCCTTTATAAAATAATAAACTGAAGTAGCTAAAAAGTAGATTAGGGCTTCCCTGGTGGCGCAGTGGTTAAGAATCCGCCTGCCAATGCAGGGGACGCGGGTTCGAGCCCTGGTCCGGGAAGATCCCACATGCCGCAGAGCAACTAGGCCCGTGCGCCATAACTACTGAGTCTGTGCTCTGGAGCCCACGAGCCACAACTACTGAAGCCCGCGCACCTGGAGCCCATGCTCCACAACAGGAGAAGCCACTGCGATGAGAAGCCCGTGCTTCAAAGAGTACTACTGCAACAAAGAGTAGCCCCTGCTCACCGCAACTAGGGAAAGCCCACGCGCAGCAACGAAGACCCAATGCAGCCAAAAATAATAAATAATAAAATAATTTTTTTTAAAAAAGTAGATTAAACATATCTCTTCTAGAAAATAAAAAGGAGTTAGGATTTGTATAGTGTTTTGCAGTTTGCAGAGCTCTTGCATATACATGCTCCTATTTAAGCTTTATTGACACCCTTCATTTGGTAAGCTGGCACAGTACAAAATCTGTGTAACAGAAGGCACAAGTCCAGGAGGTATATTTTTTTTCACTTTTATATTAAGAGAGGATGATGGGGACTTCCCTGGTGGCGCAGTGGTTAAGAAACCACCTGCCAATGCAAGGGACACGGGTTTGAGCCCTGGTCCGGGAAGATCCCACAAGCCATGGAGCAACTAAGCCCATGTGCCACAACTACTGAGCCTGTGCTCTAGAGCCCGTGAGCCACAACTACTGAGCCCGCACACCTAGAGCCCGTGCTCCACAAGAGAAGCCACCTCAGTGAGAAGCCCATGCACTGCAACGAAGGGTAGCCCCCACTCGCCACAACTAGAGGAAGCCCGTGTGCAGCAACGAAGACCCAACGCAGCCAAAAATAAATAAAATAAAATAAATAAATTTATAAAAAAAAAAATTAAGAGAGGATGATGAACAGCCTCGAGTCACTTCCATTTAATCAGTCCTTCTTCCAGTGAATGGTACTATAATGCTTTTAAAAATAGTTCGTCTCCGCAACTTTCCTGGTGGTCCAGTGGCTAAGACTCCACGCACCCAATGTAGGGGGCCTGGGTTCGATCCCTGGTCAGGGCACTAGATTTCACATGCCACAACTAAGAGTTCGCATGCCGCAACTAAGACCCGATGCAGCCAAATAAATAAATAAATAAATAATTTTTTTTTTTTTAAGTTTGTCTTTTAAGTATACCACTCATTTTTCAATTACACTATTTGCTCATAGGATTACTGTATGACTTTGACACTCTACAGCACATTCTTTTATTTTCAATTAATAAAAGGTATCCAACAGTTTTTAACCCATGCTCTTTTAAAAAAAAAAATACATGTAACATAAAGCTTGCCATTTTAACCATCTTTCAGTGTACAACTCAGCAGCATCAAATACATTCATGATGTTGCACAACCATCACCACTGCCTATTTTCAAATTTTTTCATCACCCCTAACGGAAACTCTGCACCCATTAACTCTCTGCAAGAACTCTCCATGGCCCCTCTCCTCAGCCCCTGATAAACTCTAATCTGCTTACTGTCTCTATGAATTTGCCATTCAAGGTATTCCATGTTAAGTAGGATCACACAATATTTTTGTGTCTGGCTTATTTCACTTAGCATAATGTTGTTAAGGTCCATTCATGTTGTAGCATGTATCAGAACTCCATTCCTTTTTATGGCTAAATAATATCCCATTGCATAGATATACCACATTTTGTTTATCCATTCATCTATCAACGGACACTTGAGTTGTTTCCACCTTTTGGCTACTATGAATAACGCTGCAGTGAACATCGGCAAACAAATATCTGAATCCGTTTTCAATTCTTTGGGGTACAACATACCTAGGAGTGGAATTGCTGGGTCATATGGTAATTCTATGTTTAACTTTTTGAGGAACCACCATAGTGTTTTCTACAGTAGCTGCACGATTTTACATTCCCACCAGCACTGTATGTGAATTTCTCCACATCCTCACCAACACCTGTTACTCTTTTCTTTTGTTTTAACTACAGCCATCCTAATTAGGTGTCAAGTGGTAGCTCATGTTTTTGCTTTGCATCTCCCTAAGGATGCTGAGAATCTTTTCAGGTGCTTACTGACATCTGGTATATATCTGTCATGAGGCGTCGTCCCTATGTTTCCTTCTAAGGGCTTTATTAAGTCCATATTAAGTCATGGAGTTCGGGATTTCATACCTCAAGCAATAGAAAATGATTCAAAAATCAACATGGCGGGCGAGTGAGTAAAGCTAGCTATGTTTTAGTCCTGGTCCTGCTTCCCAAACCATGAAAGTCAACCTAATGCTGACCCATGTTCACAGACAGGGATCGTAACACTGGCAGGCATTCTAAATGAAAAGAAACTCCTTGAAATGCTAATTACAATATACCAATTTGATTAATGAAGAAAACATTAGTTGGGAAGGAAAACTTAAAATACAGTAATTTCAGAAAAGGATGCCCAATACCCCTTATATGAAGACATCTGAACAGGTGGCCAATAGCATTTTTTTAGTTCCTACTCCAGGACAAATTTCTCCTACCTTTGCTAAGTTTGTTTTTCCTTTAGTCTCAGAATCAAATATGCTAACACACTGATCCTATAAATCATTCATTCTACAATCATTCCACAAATATCTGAATGTCTACTGTGTGCCAGGCACCGTTCCTGGTACCAGGGCTACAGTAGAACACAAAACAAATAAAATGCAGCCCTCGTGAAGCTCACCTTACAGTGGGAGACACAGACATTAACAAATAAATGTGTAATATATGGCTGGGTGGAGACCAGCATTGAGATGGTGTATCTCCCTCAGTATTTGCTCTTGCATTAACCACTAGCAATCGGATACCACTGATCCACCCCCATTAAGCAGCAATCTTCAAGGCCATTTAATGACCTCAATGTCAAAACTACAAGCCTTTTTCCTTCCATTCTCTTTCTCCTGACCTCTCTACCTCTATGATCTGAGTAACACACCTCCTCAAATTCTGGCTTCCTGTTTCTGTAACCATTGGACATCCTCTGAGGTTTTGCCTATATTTTCTTTCCCCATTAAACATCACATCACTTCCACGGTTTCAACCATTTTATCCATGCAGTTGATTCTCAAACCCACATTTTGCAAAATCCACATTTTGCAATGACCTAGAGTAGTATACCCTAGGCGAGGCATGACTCATGACTGTCCCAGAGAAGGGATGCCTTTCTGAAGCTCAGTGTAAGCAAAAAAGATCGATTTGAATAGTTCTGATTACCTAGAGTAGGCCAATCTTAGCCCAGAAGATCTCAAACTTTAGAGTGCATAAGAATCGTCAGGAAGGCTTGCTGAAATACAGATCCCCAGGCTCTCACTCAGCAAGTCTACAGTAAGCTTAGTGTTCGGTACTTTAATGAACCCCCAGATGATTCTGGCATAAGACATTTATGAACCGCCTTTTGAGACACAGTTGTAGGAAGCAGAGTAAGCGACTCAGGGCAGCTGCAGAGTCCATGGCAATTTCTGGCAGGGATCCACGGGAAGAATGTGTGTACGTGTGTGTGTCTGGTAGGGGGAGAGAGGTAGGGCCTGCATGTCGGTGTGGGGTAATGAGAAGCATGTGTCTCATGGCCTCCTTGGAGTGCCAAGTTCAGGCTGGAAGAAAGGGGTGGCGGGCTGGGACTGGAGAATCTGTCTTATGAGGTGTTAGCTTCTTTTCAGACAGGAAGAATCTAGAGGTAAAAGTGGAAAGAAGGAACTGATAAATGTAGAGCGACCTTCCACATTAGGTCACATCAGCTGGACCTCAGAGACTAAAAACCCAAGGCTTTCAGTACAGTGCACTACAGCACAAGAGTGCCACCCTACTGTGGCCCAGAGGGTGGGGGTAAACTCTTCCACCTCTGAAGAACTGCTGAGCACTCCATGTCAAGCCCTCCCCTGCTCTCTCACCTGGCCCACCGCAGCTCCAATGCTCCCGGTTCCATCAACTATTCCTGTGACGGTCGCCAAAGCCTCAGTGCTGCCTTGGATCAGCTCCTGACGACCCAGGTCCGCAGAAATAGCAGAGCTAATCATATTAGAAGGTCCACCAATAAAAAATCCTGAAGTCATAAACAGAACAGGTTCTTATTAAGACACTATTTGTAACAACGCTAGGAATCTACTGAATAAAGCAAACTCTTAATCCCAATACTCCAATCAGTATGTTGGAGAGAAACAAAAAGAGGGGAAAAAAATAACCAATAAAAATGGAAACTCCCCCAGATAGTAACATCTTCAAACTAGTTAGCATCCACTTTTCTCTAGAAAATAGAGTGAACACACAGCTTTCTAATCCTGTGAAGTGCGCATGCATTGACAACTAACTGCACTAGCTTGTCAAATTCTCTTATGATAGAGGTGCAGCGCAGAGCATCTGACTGCCCAAATTCAACCAAACGTATTGAAAAAAAAGAGACAGGAGAAAAAGCGATTTCAGTGGTGTAGGGGGTTCCATCGGCCACTGCTCGCGGTGAGGCTGTCCAAGGACTGAGCGGGAGTTGGCCCATGTGACTCTGTCCGTGAGGCTGCATCAGTCCCACGTGCCTCATAGAGCAGGAGCAGCTCCCACTATCCTATGATCTCAAGTTGAAAAATAAGAATTCTTCTATAACACGGTCCCTAATTGCACTCAATTGTTTCACCTGGGGCTCAAGTGAAGAAATTCTGACCAATTCCAACACAGGAGGAAAAACTAGCTATACTGGACCTTTTGAAAGCTGGTGAATTGGTTTCCAATGCGGCATCTTCCTAAGCCACTTCCACAAGTAACATGAGCGGGAGGGGCAGCAATCAAAAATCTTAGGAAACCTCTGTCAAAAGGGACTGCCTCTGTCACGGCAGGACTGAGGAGGTCACACGAGAGCAGAGAAGCAGGATCTGAAGGAGGCATCTTTCCTTTTTACCTTCTGAGTTCTCTATAATTGTGGTTTTAGCATTATCCAAATTGAAGGAGAAATCAGTTTCCTTTTTTCCTTTTTCCTTACAGAGGAACAGTACAGTGAAATGGAGCCTATGCCATACCTGTGACAGCCATCAGAAGCGCATTGATGGACTTATCATTTGGGGAACCTGTGAGGAAAGACACAGACACAGAACAACGATCTGAGGAGCGCATTACGTGTGCCTCCACCCAACAGTACACACAGATCTGGGCCTGGATCTCCGTGACCTCACAGATCACTCCCAGGGACAACAAGCGCATACAGCTCCATCACCACCTCCCCCAGGTTTTATTTGTAATGTCTGCTTCTTGCTGGTGCTCAAGCTAATGTGACTTCTAAAAGCTTACAGGAAAACTCTACTTCTATCTCAGCAGCATCTTAAGGGACATATACCAAACCTACTAATTACCATCTTTCCTCTTTTGAAATCTTGTCCCTTTTATTGTTTTATTGGCTCTAATGCTGCCACTCTGGAGCCTACCCTTGAACAAAGCATATACACTCCCAAGCAAGCTTTTAAACAAACTAACAAAGCAGAAGAGATGCCAGTTTCCTCCCCAACACAAATAAAACTATGCGATACTTTTAGCAGCATTTACAGGACAATACAAAGGTCCCATATTATGCCTTTGTGGCTGGTCTCAACTATCCCCCCAGGGTTGATCACTGACTCAAGGCAAATAAATGCCTTAGTCCTAAGAGATGAGGAAAACAGTTTAATTGCAAGGGAATACTCACGACTATATCCAACGAGGGACCCGACGGCCAGAAGCAGACTGAGAGCTAACACTGGGGCTCTCTTCTGTAGAACATCAGAGATGAAGCCTTGCAGAGTTCCACCTTCAAGCACAAAGAGTGAAACCCAATCAAAATGTCTAATTTAGCTCAGTTACCTGACTCTTGCTTACCACATACCCTCCACCTGCGATCAGGATCCTAACACTGGTCCATCCAAAAAGAGAGCTGGCTCTCCTAAAACATTTCCTCCGTAATTTCCTTTTAGAAAGGTTACCTGACTATTAACTGCCATGATGGCTGATGGGGACGGGACACCACAAATAAAGGAAAATCATCAAAACTACCCCACTGTTCCTTGCTGTTTTTCCTTCTCCAACCAGCTGTGAAGGCTTTTCCTGCTTTTTATTTTAAAAGATAATTAATTAAGGACTGTGCTTCATCGGCTATTAGTAGTAGTGAACATAAATATTCACTAAAATTAAGTGCAACAATCATGGTTTGGTAGTAACTAATAGGTCAAGACGTTTAAAAGAAGTGATGTGGATCCTTGAAGCAACGCAGTCACATTTAGATGCATTCCTACTTGGAGTCTAGGGGCAGTGGGACACCTGGTACACCCTCATCAGAAGTACATGCAGGTCTAAAGGCAGCAACCTCACCTTGGCTCTGGATCTAAGAATAAGGGCACACAAGTTCAAATACAGCAACAGTATATCACCTAAGGATACACTGTGCTTTCATGCGCTCAGGGCAGTTTAGTCTTTCCACACTTCTAAATGTAAACATTACAAAAAGGATATTAAGGTTCTGCCATAGCCATATAAGCAGTACCCACTAACATGCAATCTGTACATATGTCTGATTTTAAAGTTTCCTACTTCCTTGTTTACATTTCCAGTTAGAACAAAAGGTCACTGTTAAAATCTGCTGTGGGGCTTCCCTGGTGGGGCAGTGGTTGAGAGTCTGCCTGCCAATGCTAGGCGACACGGGTTCGTGCCCTGATCTGGGAGGGCGAGGAGCGGCCGGGCCCCTGAGCCACGGCGCTGAGCCTGTGCATCCGGAGCCTGTGCTCCGCAACGGGAGAGGCCACAACAGTGAGAGGCCCGCGTACCGCAAAAAAACAAAAAACAAACAAACAAAAAATCTGCTGTGTACAATGAAGCAACTGCAAAACAAAAAAATTAATCCCTGCTATTATTCCTACCTTTATGATCTGACAATCAATACACTAAGCTAGTATGTTTCCCTTCTTTGGCTGCGGTGTGGTATATAAAATGAACACATTCACATCCTAACTAGAATCTCTGACATACAATTTGCTTTACAGCTAAGCTATCGCTGAAAAGTGTACAAAAGGTTTACACTTAAAGGGATCAGAGAGAGACATCCCTGCACTTCCCAAGACAAAAGAACTGATCCATCAACAAAGGACTGAGAAAAAAGAGCCCTATAAATCACAGGGCTGCCATAGGCTAGGTCTTCTTTTCTAAGGACTTTTTTTTTTTAAGAGTTTGGCTATTTACTCGTAGGACAGTTTAGGAAAAATAGCTGTGGAATAAGTAATAAAACTTTAAATGATGCCAGATTTCATAACCCAGTAAAATATGACTAGTGACTAATTCTTATTACAGAAAAAGATGTATCACTGGCCTTACCTATAATTCCTCCAACATCGTACCAAATGGACAGCTTGTCGGCTTCAGCCTCCTTCCATCCGAAGTTATTACTCAGATAAAAGGGCAACCAGAAGAAGAAGGAGTAATTCACTAACTTCAAGCAGGCATAGGCCAGTGAATACTATAGGGAAAAACATCCAACTACCAGTAAGGAACAAACGGCACAACGTAACTACCATGTAAATGTAATTAAACAACAAAACAGAACAGAGGAGTTTGAGGCGAATAGTACCTGATTTTCAAATTAAATGTTTCTACAAATTCCTATTTGCCTGACTTTACCCAGTCTCCCTCTTCTCTTCATCCCCCCTTAGCGTCTAGAAAGGCAGTACAGTAGGCCTTGGGATAAAAAACACATAGGACTACTCCTTAATTGTCCCCCCACTTTCTTCTTTCAGTTCTCTGGTAGAAGCAAACCAGTGTTTTGAACCTGCAAGGCAGGGCACATACTCATATTTCTTTATATAGATAAAAATAAAAGGTATTCATGCCACTGACTAGCACTAACCATACGCAAACGAATCCAGTAACATCACAGCCTTTATTGCAAGCAGCCAGACTTTTTTGGCTCTACTTCCTGTGAAGTTAACATTATGGACAATGCAAAGCAATGGGACTGGACTACGGTTCCAAGGTCTTAAGAAAAGCATCAACATGAAAACTACTTTCACGCTGTAGTTTCCACAAGCTTTGAGTCAAAAGTGAAAGAACAGGATCGTCATGGGTCTTGTGGCTCTAGGCTGAGGAATGAAAGTTACAGCTGCCTTAAGATGGCAGCGGGGCTGAGAATCCTATATTCAACACATTATTACCAGGAAATCCTGACATTTAGCATCAAAGGAAAAAGGGGGAGGAACAGAGAGACTGACTTCAAAGGGTGTCTGGCTAGTATATTCTTTTCCCTGGAGCTGCCAGTTATTCCCTAGGTATCACTTGTTTTAAAGCAGCTTCCCAGGCAGGGCAGCAGCCACCCCCTAGAGAGCCAAATCCCAATCATGAGTGCATTTTGTCCAGACAGCCTGCCACAAAGACAAAGGAATTAAGTTAACTGGATTTCCTTTACACCCTGCCCGTGGGAGGGAACAATAGCTTGTGAAACACAAAGCAATAGCAAAAGAGGGCCACGTTTAGTCACAACAAATCTAAGTTCTGTCTCAGAAATTAACCTATTACCAGCAGAACATTTTAATAACTACTTTAAAAAATACTGATCATTAGCATAAGAACAGGCCCAAAGGAACTTGCATTTCCCTTGTATTACACATCATCTTTTGGTTGAAGACTTGGGGGAACTTACACTTAAATTTTAACTCACGCTTAAACTATCTTGTTTGTAAATGTCAGTTCTCTTAGCTTGGGGGCAGGTAGAAGGGAACTGGAAAGTATGAAATAGGACAACCTGCAGACTCTGAATTTACTGACGGGTTACGTTCATAAAGCACCATTAAACAAAAAAAAACAAAAAGGTGCTTATTCACAATACAATAACCCAGTGTTACAGACTCCAGGGAGGACTGGTAGGCTTTCTGTCCATAGGAAGGGGAACTGAGACACGAGGATGGGCTGAGTGACTTACCCCAGGCCTAGTTAACGGGTAAGCTGGCAACATAACCTAAGCCTTTTAACTTCCACTCCCATGCTAGAGCGCCCGAAACACCAAGACAGAAAAACTGCAGCAAAAGGGCTTCAGTTTAGACATTAGGAAAAAACCTAACTGTAAAGGTTGCGGAAACACTGGAATGCATTACCAGGAAATGCTGTGGAGTATTCTGCTCTGGACCTTTAACAGAAGGGAAAACTTTTTTCCCCTAGAATAGTAAGGATATAGGCAAATCAAACAGACCTAACGAACCACTCAAACCTCTCTTGGGCCATTTATAATTCTATAAGACTTCAACAGGCCAAAAGGTATATATTTTAAAATATCAAATTTGCCTTCTTACTCGAAGGCTAGACCACGGTCAGCAAATTCCAGCTCACGGGCCAAATACGGCCAGGCCCATTTGTTCCGTATCGTCCATGGACTCCTTTCCTCTACTGAGTTGAGCGATTGTGGCAGAGACTGTATGGTGCCCCCAAAGCTGAAAACATTTACTAACTGGCTCTGTACAGAAAAGGTTTTGCCAAACCCTGCATTAGATTTCAGATAAAACTTCAAGTGGTGCCAATACAGAAACAAGCTGAGGGCCAATATTCACTATTGCTCTGAACATATATTCCTAAAATAAAGTCTCAGAGAGAAGCGAAACACTTCAAGATGCTTTATCCCAGGCAGAGTTACTATCCCGGCTATAACATCTCACTGGCTGTGGTAAGGAGATTTGAACAGGCTTTACCGCTATAACTCCGGGAAGGCAACAAGCCTGGTAAAAGCTTATCGCCTTGACTTGGGTAATAGTCTTGTCTTCTTGGATTGAATAATTAGGCTCAGCGTCATCTTCATTTTCAGCACCACTAATTAATGGCCTGTGTGAGTCGTCTTCAAAATTTTCTTCGGCCTCAATACCTGGGAGACCTACAACAAGAGTGACATCCATGTTTACAGAGGGCCCTCCAGGTGCCCAGCACTGGGCTAAGTGCTTTGCATGCATCATTACTTACGGGGTCCATGTTATTTTTATTTCCATTTTACAGAAGAAGCTACTAAGGTTCAGAGTCCAAGGTCAATTAAGGTCACACAGCTAATGAGCCACAAACCCAGGCCTCTAATTTTCCTTGACCTGGCTTCAAAGCAAAGCTTTTTCAACTACATCACAGTATCTCTCTTACATAATACCAAAAACACCATTAATTACGTGCTCTTAAACTGACATGTCTCTTTAGTATACTCAAAAGATAGAAGAATCATACATCTATCTGCTTCTGTGGTTTCACTTGCACACGTTCTGTATTTAACCACAGATAAGCATCACACTAAATTATTTTTATGAAGGAAAAGAAATCTGTCTCAAGAAGTGAAATTCGAAATACATCCATGCTAATTTCTAGCCAGCATCTCCATTATAAAACCCATTTGCAAATGATGAGTTTTCCCTGAATCTATAAAAAGGTGAGCCTCACTGCCTCAAACATTTGCAGCTGTGCCAGGAGAGGCCGCAGCATCAACAGGATACAAACAGCAATGCTGCTCCTTGCATTCACTGAAAGGAGCTCACAGTTCTCCTATGAAGAAAGAGATAGGCTGTTCTGGCCACAGGTTTCTCTTTGCCTATAATAGTAAGACGTTCTGAGTAGAAGAGCAGCTTCTCACCAATTTCTTCGGGTGATACCAAGAGTCCAAAGAAGATGATGATCCCACCAGCAAACTGCACAGCCGCCGTCACCAGAAAGGCATACTGGAGGGGGAAGGGAAAGGTGTTCCTGACGCATCTGAGATGCTCATTAAAGGCACATTCATTAGAGGCACACGGGGGGAGGACAGGGCGACTGGAAAGGAAATGAGCGCTGAGCGCCTAGCCTGTGCCAGGCACTGAGCTAAGTGTTTTACTTGTGTTTTCTCAGAAGTTTTTCCCAGGGACTCTATGGGACTCAGAGAGGACAATTAAGGTCCACGGGACACTGAGTGGTACTATTACGATCATGAAATCAGAACCAGCTCCAAAAGTAATACTCCTTACACTACTTGGCCTCCTACAAAAGACAGTATCTGCCCTCAAAGATATTTTCCAGTTGAGGGGATTAAACAGTACACAAAATAATAGTATAAGGCAGCATGTAGCTGATAAATGAGAAGGCCCAGTCCTAATAGGAAACAAACAGAGGAACTGAATTCAGAAGAAGGAAACAGCTAAAGAGGTTGAAGGAGGGAGACAATGCTTTACGGAGCAGGTGAAAATCATAGCAATTGACCACCTTTCCTGGCACGGCTGAGGCAAAGGCACTGGGTGGGAGGGAGATGGAAAGCCTTCTGCGTGGTGGGAGCTGAGGGCTCCTGCTGGGGGTAACGGGGAAGAACACTGACTTGGAAAGGTGCTATCCAGATGAAAGACTCAAGAGCCAGGCTGCATCGCTGAATATTATTTTATTTAAGAGTGGAGCCTGATGCAGATAGACAGGTGACAAAATTAGTTTTTCCAGAAGTCAAATCTGGGAGCAGCACGTAGGGTGAACTGAAATTCCCATCTGAGCCAATTAGTACAATCCAGGTGTGAAGCTAAGAAACCTGGGAAAAGGTGAATGTGAACACAGGAAGGACTTCCCACTGGCCCTAACTAGACCAGAATTCTTCAGGAACCAAACACTTGGTGAGCAGCTTAAAAATGGATCTGCTGCTTTTCAAAAGAGCAATTTACTTTTCAAAAGAGCAATTTACTTTTAATTATTAGGGTTTTGAACAGGCAATAGGTTGACAATGATTCAAGCAACAAAAAGTAGAAGATGTATAGTTAAACCCTCCCTCCCATCCCTTCTCTCAGCCATTCAATTCTCATTTTTCCACATATAAGCACTGTTATTTCATTTTTACTTTCCAGAGATTGTTTTGGAAACATACAAGCCAATACAACAGATACTCTTTAATTCTTCCTCCACTTCACACAAATGGCAGCATTCAACACACACGGTTATGCACCCTTGCTTTCTTCACTTAACACACCATTGAGCTGTTTCCCTGTCAGGACATTAGGGCTGCATAATTCTATTTCACAGCTGCACAGCATTCCACTGAATAGGAGTTCCTTAGTATAACTATTTCCCTTTTGGTTGACATCTGTTACCAATCTTTTGCTATTACAAACAATGTTGAAGTAAATAACCTTGTAGATGTATCTCTCTGTACATGCTGAAGTATATTCACCAATGGGATAAATTCACAGATGTGGAACTGCTTGGTGAGAGCCATTATAATTTTGATAGACCATACTGACCCCAAGAGGGGTTATTTACTCTCCCATCTGCAATGCCTGTTTTGTCACATCCTCATAAACATGTTACCAAGCTTTGGGGTTTTTACCAATATAATAAGTATACGGTGTTGTTTCTTTTCTTTTTTTACAGTGTAGTTTTAATTTGCATTTCTCTGCCGACTAACACCTAAACTCCACAAGGGTAGAGATTTTTGTCTCTTGGTCAGGGCTCTATTCTTTACTGCCTTGGGGCACTTAGAGGAGCTTAAAAATATTTACTGAATGAAGGAATAAATTCTGAGTGAAGTGGAATACCCTGTCGTATGTTTACAAGCCATTTCTATTTCCTTTTCATGAACTACAGAGTCAAATACTTTACATTTCTTTCTGCGTGCTGGTCTTTTTCTTATCAATTTGTGGGCATTCTTTATATATTAAGGAAATTAGCTCTTTATCTGTAACATGAGTTGCAAATACTTTTCCCCAACCGATATGTCTTTAGATTTGGTTGTTTATCCATGACTAATTTTTTAACGTGTTTGAATTTACCAAGAGTTTGTGCACTCTTAATACAAACCTTGCCCCACCCAGACATAGCTCTAGGTCATTTTAAATGGTCACAGGATTATTTCCTAAAATAGAAAATATATTTATATACTCAAGAAAAAGCTAGAAAGAAACACCTACCTCATAACCATACTGCAGAACGGAAGAAGCTAGACATGCTCCCAAAATATTGCCCACTGAGGCACAGGCACTCCAGAGACCAAAAACAACTCCTCGTCTATGATGGGAACAGTGCAAAACAGAAGACAATAGAATCAGAAGGGATTTTATGTGCAGTTCAAATACAAAATGGCCAAAATAGTGCAGGTTTGCATTACAAAGAATCAATATTCTATTTTAACGTTTTTTTAAAGTACACCCAAATGGCAAAACATCAGGTAGGTCTCTTCTAACTCTAAGATTTTATTATAAGTTCAGTTTGGGGCTCACTGAAAAACACCATTAAGAGAATTTAAAATGAAAAGCCACAGATTGGGAGAAACTATTTGGATATCATTTATCTGACAGAAGACTTGTCACTGGAAATATAAAGAACTCTCAAAACTCAATAAGGTGAAAAATAGACAATGCAATAAAATGTTAAAGAGTATAAATCTACAATAATCTCAAATACAAAGTTTCTGAAAAAGGGGCAAAAGATTTTAATAAATACTTCACACACAAAAAAAATAAGATGCGGAATTCCCTGGTGGCGCAGTGGTTAAGAATCCGCCTGCCAATGCAGGGGACACGGTTTGAGCCCTGGTCCGGGAAGATCCTACATGCCATGGAGCAACTAAGCCCGTGCGCCACAACTACTGAGCCAGCGCTCTAGAGCCCACAAGCCGCAACTACTGAGCCCACGTGCCACAACTACTGAAGCCTGCGTGCCTAGAGCCCATGCTCCGCTACAAGAGAAGCACCGCAATTAGAAGCCCGTGCACTGCAACAAAGAGTAGTCCCACTCATCACAACTAGAAAAAGCCTGAGTGCAGCAACAAAGACCCAGTGCAGCCATAAAATAAATTAAATAAATAAATAAATTTATATTTTTAAAAAAAAGAATCCGCCTGCCAATGCAGGGGATACGGGTTCAATCCCTGGTCCAGGAAGATCCCACATGCCACGGAGCAACTAAGCCCGTGTGCCACAACTGCCTGTGCTCTAGAGCCCGCAAGCCACAACTACTGAGCCCGTGCGCCCTAGCGCCCATGTGCCGCAACTACTGAGCCTGTGTGCTGCAACAAGTGATGCCCACGCGCGTAGAGTCCATGCTCCGCAACAAGAGAAGCCACTGCAATGAGAAGTCCATGAACCGCAACCAAGAATAGCCCCCGCTCACCGCAACTAGAGAAAGCCTGCGCGCAACAACGAAGACCCAACACAGCCAAAAAATTAAAAAAATAAAAAATAAATAAGATGCAAATAAGCACATGAAAAGATGCTCAACATCATCAGACATTAGGGAAATGCAAATCAAAACCACAAGGAGGTATCACTACACACCTACTAGAATAGCTAAAATCAAAACACACTGAGCATACCACGTGTTGACAAGGATGTATAGCACCTAGAATCCTTATACTCTGCTGGTGGGAATGTAAAATGGTTCAACCACTTTAGAAGAAATTGCCAGTTTCTTAAAAAGATAAACACACCCCTATCGTATGATCCAGCCATCCTACTCCAAGGTATGTATCCAAGGGAAGTGAAAGCATATGTCCATACAAGGATTCGTCAACAAATATTCACAGTAGCTTTACTAGTGAAAGCCGGAAACTAAAAGCCTGAATGTTCACCAATAGGTGAACAGATAAATTGTGATATAATGGATGACTCCTCAGCTATAAAAAGGAATGAACTATCAATGCAGACATGAATTAATCTCAACGTTACTGTGCCGAGTGGAAGAACACAGTCAAGAAGACACACTGCGTGATTCCATTTATATAAAATTTTAGAAAATTCAGATTAAAGTGACAGAAAGCAAATCATTGGTTGACTGGAGACGGCAGTGGGAGGGAGGAATTACCAAGGGGCATGAGGAAACTTTGGGAGTGATGGATATGTCATGATCTTAATTGTGATGATACTTTTACAGGTGCATGCATGCCAAAACTCATCCAACTGTACCCTTTGAACATGTGCAGCATATTGTATACCTCAATAAGGCCATCAAAAAAAAAAAATGGGTATGTGGATGAAGAGTCTGTGGAAGGGAAACTAGCTATTACAATAGTCCTGGAGAAAAACAACTAGCTCTGGACATAGGCAATGGCAGTAGGGCTGCTGAAGAAAGAAAAAGACAAAAAAAAAAAGCAGTTGAGAAAAATTAATTTTTTTAACGTTTAAATTTGTGTATTAGGACTTCCCTGGTAGTGTAGTGGTTAAGAACCCACCTGCCAATGCAGGGGACACGGGTTCGAGCCCTGGTCCGGGAAGATCCCACATGTCACAGAGCAACTAAGTCCGTGCGCCACAACTACTGAGCCTGCGCTCTAGAGCCCGCAAGCCACAACTGTTGAGCCCATGTGCCACAACTACTGAAGCCCGCACACCTAGAGCCCGTGCTCCGCAACAAGAGAAGCCACCGTAATGAGAAGCCAGCGCAACACAACGAAGAGTAGCCCCCCGCTCGCCACAACTAGAGAAAGCCCGCACGCAGCAACAAAGACCCAAAACAGCCAAAAAATAAATCAATCAATAAATAAATAAATTTATTTTTTTTAAAAGTATGTGTTACATTTTAAAAACTAATATTAAAAAATAAATTTGTGGGCTTCCCTGGTGGCGCAGTGGTTGAGAGTCCGCCTGCCGATGCAGGGGACACGGGTTCGTGCCCCGGCCAGGAAGATCCCACATGCCGCGGAGCGGCTGGGCCCGTGAGCTATGGTTGCTGAGCCTGCGCGTCCAGAGCCTCTGCTCCGCAACGGGAGAGGCCACAACTGTGAGAGGCCCGCGTACCGCAAAACAAACAAACAACAACAAAAAAAATTTTGTATTTTATTCTACTTAATACATATCAATAACACACGGTGTTAGGTCTAGGTTCTTCAGCTCTTTCAACATTTTTATAACCTCACTGAGACAGAAGGAATCTTAGAAATGAACAGGTAGACAACATTTAACAGTGAAAAATAAAGTCTTTTCAGAAGTCCCAGCTCTGCCACTTCCAGCTGGGTGATCTCCAGCAAGTCCCAGCCCAGGCTCAGGGCTCTCATCTGGAAAGCGCTGAGCTCCTCAAAGGAATGAGTGCAGTGACAGAGTTGACAGTTTGGGCCTGCAAGGGTGTACCTACTAGTACTACCTGCCTCAATGTGTTTTAAAAAACTATGACCCCGACAACGGGAGGAGGGACACGATTCAGCCAAGGTAATAGCTTTCCAAAGCAACGTCCTCAGTGGATCACAAACCTACCAAGAGCATCCTAGAGGGTCTGAATAACACTGGCTGACCGAAGACATGATTTCAGAAGAAACTGGCTGAAAACAACTGTGACTTTAAGTTATAGTTTTATTGGTACTTCATGGTTTATTGTTACATTTCACAGGAAGAGTCACTGTGTGTCAGGCAATGCATCATTGATTTCACTTACTAGTGTTATTTGCTTAAAAACAAGCTGTCTTACTTTCAAAAGTAAACGGTAATGGCTTTCTTGAATTTGTGACTGAGCCAGAGAAATAATCAAGGTCAGCCTACCCAGTCACTGCCACCTACCACCAAGTGTCACCCAGTTTATAAAAGTTCAGATAAGGATTATCTCAAAATTATACATGTCAAAGTGATTATCCTTGAAGTGACAGGATTTCAGGTGGTTTTACCCTTTATTTCTCTGTGTTCATTTATATTATCTGGTTTGGCTACAATAATCAAGTAACCTTTGTATAATTTTCAAAAATCACGCTTGGAAAGAAGTTATGTTAAAAATCTTAATAAAAATAAATAACACACAAGCAGACAGCATCTCCTACTCCAAAAGAAAACTAAAGTATCCCGGGGGAACGAGTACCTCCGAAAATCAATTCTGTTAAACCAGTGACACTAGAGTTGGAAAGAACTGGAAATCACTAGCACACTGAACATAATCAGAGCATTCTCATTAAGCGGTGCTGATTCTAACCACAAGGCATTTTACAGGTGAACTTTCACAACAATACAGAGATCATTAGCCAGCAAGCACCTCTACTCCTACTATGAGACTGGGGAAGCTGGAAAACCGAGAGGAGTTGGTCAAAGCATGCACTGATCACCGCGGCGGGTGGATAATGCCTGCTGTGTACACTGGTCCCTACGTAAAAGAGTAAACAAACAAAAAACATAGAGCCATCGATGAAATAAATGTGCATCTCACAACACATAAATATTTATCCAGGACAAATGATAGAAATCCAAATTAACAGTATTCCTAAAGGCAGAGTGTCATAAACAATGATAAACAACAAAGGTAGAGTGCCACAAACAACAATAAACAACAAAGCCAAGTCTTTGGGTAGCTCAATTTATTTTCTATCCTGTAAATTAAGTATGGTTCTTCTTGAGTGGCAGTAGGTGCCCATCCTCAAGCCATGGCCCCCACCACACACACACAAACTCACATACAACTGATAAGTACTTAAAGGTTTATGGAAAAAATGGCCAACTTAACTAGGTCCCAAAGTTTGGCATTCTTCATCTGCATTTTCCTTTTTTTCTTTTTTTAAAGGGAACTTTACTTTTTGTTATTTATTTATTTATTTTTGGCTGCGTTGGGCCTTCATTGCTGCGTGCAGGCTTTCTTTTGTTGTGGCGAGCGGGGACTACTCATTGATGCAGCGCGCAGGCTTCTCGTCGCGGTGGCTTCTCTTGTTGTGGAGCATGGGCTCTAGAGTGTGCGTGCTTCAGTAGTTGTGACTCGGAGGCTCAGTAGTTGTGGCGCACAGGCTTAGTTGCTCCGCAGCATGTGGGATCTTCCTGGACCAGGGCTCGAACCTGTGTCACCTGCACTGGCAGGTGGATTCTTAACCACTGCGCCACCAGGGAAGCCCCATCTGCATCTTCTTGAAGCCTTTGCTCTGTGACCTCAGGGCAAGCCCTATGGATAACTTCTGGCCTCAGTTTCCTTATCTTTAAGAAGGTTAAACTAGATCACTGAGTCTCAAAAAAAGGGAAAGCAAAACCCACAGGAAGATACATGATGAGATGGCACATGGGATTTGTTATTATGGTGTGTTATTTATGTTCTCTAAAGGGAAGATTTAAAAAAAAAAAAATTTGAGACGTACGGCCTCAGCCACACTCAATATCTGACCATGGCCAGGAGACTGCTGTGAGTGAGCCCCACAGGCTGGACCATATCTAGGGTCCACGTTATTTCCAATGCACTTTGACATGAAACCTCCTCTCCCGGCTGCTCTAAACTTTCTAAAATAGAGGGAAGACGTGGGTGGTGTCGAAGGGATCAAGTGCATTGACTCTGACAAGTCTTGAACAATCCCATATTAAAACTACTTAAGTAGAGAAATGAAAGAAGGAGGAAGTGGCATACCCAGCTTTCCCAAACCAGTTGCCCATAACAGCAACGACGCACGGCCAACCAGAGGACTGCAGCAGGCCATTCACGATCCACAGGCTACAGTATAGCCCCTTATTGTAGAAATGCAGCCATTCTGTGAGAGTGCCAAAGACAAACACCTTAGAGAAGAAGAAAGAAAAAGACACATGTAACATCCTTGTGGACACCCCGACTAAAGACCCTATGTGAAAGATACAGTCAATGTCTGGGGCCTGAGAGACGTGTGGCCAACTCTTCAGATGCTCCCGCCCAGAGCAGCGCTGAGGGAGACCACCGCCAAACCACCCCCACCAGAGAGGCAGAGATGGCAAAGAGCGTAAAACGCAGCGAGGACCACCCTTCCAACTTGCATCTTCAACTCTAAAAGGTTAAGTCCCCATTGTTGGACCTCTTTTTACATTATTTCCCTTTCCTCTTGTTTATGGAAGACAGCTCTGGGGACTACCTGACTTCACATGTTTCAATATCGTTAGAACAGCCCAGGCACATCATGCGGACCAGAAAGCGTCAGCTATTGTTAACACCGTGCCTAATAAGTGCACTGGCGTAACTTGTGACTGGCTCAATCATTTGGTGGCATGCATCAAAGGACTGCTTTTTTCCAGGCATTCTGCTCGGCGTGGGCGTTTTATCTGTAGTCAGTCTCCTTCGGGAATATTTGGCATGGGTTTCAAACTGGTATGTCTAATACTGTATGATTCCAGTTATATGACATTCTGGAATGAGCAAAGCTATAACGACAGAAAAACAGTCAGTGCCTGCCAGAGGCTGGGGGCAGAAGGAAGGGTGGCAGTTACACAACTATACTCACTTGTCAAAATTCAGGAGCATACACTAAAAAGGGTGAGTTTATTGAGTTTATGTACATACTTCAATTTTTCAAAAAACGTAAAAAAACAAACAAGAAAGTATGTATACAGGTTTAAAAATAGTATGTATATATGTGTGGGTGAGCAGCTTGTGAATAAATAAAGTGCTTCAATCTCTGAAATAGAAAAAGAAGTTTTTCCCCATACACAAATGGCAGACATTGAAAAACAATAATAGAGTCTAAGTAAACTCCATGCTTTCAATCAACAAAAATTGATCACCAGATGCTTGTAAGCAAATAAAGATGAATCAAATATGGATCTTGCCCTCTATAGCACTTAATATACCAGCCACTGTTCCAAATGCCCCACACATAGTAACACACAGAACCCTCACTGCAACCCCAGGTGGAGGTATTCAAAAGGGGAGGCTAAAGCACACAGAAACCGTAGCTGGAAACTCCCGGGGAAGGACTGAAACCCAGGCGGTGCAGGTCTGGGGAAGTCTGTGGTCTTAATCACCCCACTGCAGGCTCCTAGGGAAAGCAAGACCGACACAGAAACAAGCAGGCTGAGCAGCAGACAAGAGAAGTGCCTTCAAAGAAATCCAGGCACGGGAGCTCAGGACAGGGAAGGATGACTTCCGGGAGTGGGGCTGGTAAAGTAAGGCATAATGAAACAAGAGTCATTTGGCCAATGACTTGAAGGAGACGCTGAGTTATACTATCAAGAGCTGAACAGAGAGCATTCAAGGCAGGAAGAACAGCAGGAACAATAGCCATGAGGTAGAAGGGAGAAGGATATGTTAGGGCCACAAAAGGTATTGATAGTTTGACGTGGGAGTGCAGAGAGGTGAAGCACAGGACAGACATGACTGTAGAGGCGGGCTGGGACCAGGTTCTCGGGGGCACTGGATGCCAGGCGAGTTATGCTTTGATTTTGCTGGTGACTGAGAATCAAGCAAGGGGCATGATTGAAGTCATACTTTAAGGACATACCTAAGCGAAAAGGCACAGAAGGGATTAGAACACTGAAGATTAATTTTTCTATTCTATTCTATATACAGAAGTGGGGGACTGCTTGGATTGTAAAATACCTGGCTGAGACAACAGTAATAGTAATAAGAATAACACCTTTCAACTTACCACTAATGCAGAGGAGCACATGCCAAAAGACAGAACCCATCGCAAATTAAGCCGGTCCCCAACGATACCACTGATGAAAAGGCCCTAAAAATAAAGCATTTTATTTTATAGCTCTGGATAACAACACAGCCTGGAAAAAGTGAAATGCATTCCAAAGCAAACAAGGCGAGGCAAACAAAACACAAAAATTAAATCTCATTCTCGTGCCTAGCCTAGCCGTCTAAATCACTTTCACTAACATTTCAGGAAATGACAATTGTTTCTGCGCACTATACTGTAAATACTTCATGCACCAAGACAGTACGATTCAGTGCAAATTTCCATTCTATTTGATCCCAACTGCCTAAGAGACTGAAAAGAAAAGAAAAAAAAAAAAACAAAAACAAAGAATAATTCTAATAAAACAAGCACACAAATATGTTTCCTCTTCTAGAACAGATGAACTCCTAAACATCAGTTACCTGCTTTCCCAAAGGGATTCCTCTTAGCCATTTGCATTCTGAATTAAGATGTTACGTGTCCTGCAGAACAGAAGCTTCGGGGGCACATGCACTGCCTGCTTAATCTGACCCTTGGGTTTCATGACATCACGAGGCAAGGAGAGCACGGAGGCAGAGACAATAATCAGTTGAAGAGAGGCACAAATGTTCTGCCTTCTGCTCTCCTCCCACTGAGTGGCAGGAATTAAAATGCCGAGATCATGGCAGCAAGGCAGCCAGAAAGCTAAGGGCAACACACTTTAGGTTTCTTCCACAAATATGCAAAATGAATAAATGTCTTGACTAAATACCTAAATTCAGATACAAGTGTTTCTCATAAATTGACTACATTATAAATATAATATAGCTGTATAAATATATCTATATTAGAGAAAATTTAGATGATAAACGGCATAATAAATGTTTCTCCCTCATTATTGTCAAGCTTTCACTACCTCAAAAGAGGCACCCGCAAACATTAGAGAAGAGTCTATGTTCTATAGCTCCAATTCACATGGTCTTATACTATATATAGTAAAGGGGGGGGCGGTGGTGAAGAAAATCTCTCAATTATGTTTCAGATTAGGCAACCAATTTATTCTGTATTGCTCCAAAGGTCCACACAATACCTGGCAGTTACAGAAGGAAATGCAGCTCAATATAAAGAGCTATGATCACTGGTTTTTCATGGCATTTATCTTTTATCTCCTAAACCTATTTAATCCTATAGACAACTATTATCATCATAATTCTGTATCATCATAACTCTGTAGGTAAGGAAACTAAGTATCAAAAAAAGGTTAAATTCCATTTTGATACGAAGCTTATCATAGCTAGTTGGTGGTGGTGAGCTAGTGGTTCCATGAGACGACACAGCCTCTTCTAAGGCTGAAGGAGAAGCATCACTGGGAGTGCTCCAGCCAAAGCCAAGCGATCCTATATTGGGATTTCGTACAGAAAAGGCTGTCCTGATCATCAGAAAATCTACAAACAACAAATGCTGGAGAGGGTGTGGAGAAAAGGGAACCCTCTTGCACTGTTGGTAGGAATGTAAATTCCCGCAGCCACTATGGAGAATAGTATGGAGGTTCCTTAAAAAAATAAAAATAGGGCTTTCCTGCTGGCGCAGTGGTTGAAGAGTGCGCCTGCCGATGCAGGGGACACGGGTTCGTGCCCCGGTCCAGGAAGATCCCACGTGCCACATAGCGGATAGGCCCGTGAGCCATGGCCGCTAGGCCTGCACGTCCAGAGCCTGTGCTCCGCAACGGGAGAGGCCACATCAGTGAGAGGCCCGCATACCGCAAAAAAAAAAAAAAATAGAACTACCATACGACCCAGCAATCCCACTACTGGGCATGTACCCAGAGAAAACCATAATTCAAAAAGACACATGCACCCCAATGTTCATTACAGCTCTATTTATAATAGCCAGGTCATGGAAGCAACCTAAATGTCCACTGACAGACAAACGGATAAAGAAGATGTGGTGCATATATACAATGAAATATTACTCAGCCATAAAAAGGAACGAAATTGGGTCGTTTGTAGAGACATGGATGGACCTAGAGACTGTCATACAGAGTGAAGTACGTTAGAAAGAGAAAAATAAACATTGTATATTAATGCATATATGTGGAATCTAGAAACATGGTATGGATGAACTGGTCTGCAAGGCAGAAACAGAGACACAGATGTAGAGAACAAACGTATGGACACCAAGGGGGGAAAGCAGGGGGAGAGGGGTGGGATGAACTGGGAGACTAGGATTGACGTGTATACACTAATATGTATAAAATAGATAACTAATAAGAACCTGCTGTATAGCACACGGAACTCCACTTCACTGTACAGTAGAAACTAACACAACATTGTAAAACAACTATACCCCAATTAAAAAAAAAAAAAAAGGCTGGCCTGAGAAGCTAGGCTAAATGATCCAAGATCTGTTCCGACTATGTCTGTAAGTTTCCTCTTCAAAGAAAAGATATTCTAGTAACCGCCCAAATAAACATTTGGAGATTACTTTGGGACTTTCACCCAGCATTTCACATCACCTGCACATTTACACCTAAAAGGCTTTTTTATAACTGGACACTTTTTTTTTTTTTTTGCGGTACGCGGGCCTCTCACTGTTGTGGCCTCTCCTGTTGCGGAGCACAGGCCCCGGACACGCAGGCCCAGCGGCCATGGCTCACAGGCCCAGCCGCTCTGCGGCATGTGGGATCCTCCCAGACCAGGGCACGAACCCACGTCCCCTCCATCGGCAGGCGGACTCTCAACCACTGCGCCACCAGGGAAGCCCTATAACTGGACACATTTTAAAGATAAACAGTAAGATGCTGGGGATAAAAGGTCAGACTGCTCCCCCAGGGGCACAGCTCCAGCTATGGCCACCACCGCTCTAATTCAGCAGCCACCACAGACACTCCCTAAGGCCAGACAGAGACTCTGGCTGCCCGATCCCAGGATACTCCCTCAGCCAGAGCTGGCCCCGGCTGTCCCGGTTCTGCTCCCAGGACGATGCCACCCGCTCGCGGTTCTCCTGCTCCCTCTCAGCCTCCCTGGCCCACCCCTCATCTTCCCCACCTCGAAATACTGGAAGCGCCCCAGCCCCGGCTCAGTCTTCCTACCTCCTCCCTGTCCTTATCAACTCTCCTGACCATTTTCATCCAGTCTCATAATTTAAAAAATCATCTACGGGACTTCCCTGGTGGTCCAGTGGTTAAGACTCCACACTCCCAATGCAGGAGGTCCGGGTTCAATCCCTGGCCAGGGAACTAGATCCCGCATGCATGCTGCAACTAAGAGTTCGCATGCCACAACTAAGGAGCCTGCGAGCCGCAACTTAGGAGCCCTCCCGCCGCAACTAAGAAGCCCACGTGCTGCAAGTAAGGAGCCAGTGAGCCACAACTAAGACCCAGCACGACCAAATAAATAAATAAATTTTAAAAAATAAAAATAAAAAATCATCTATATGTGAAGGGCTCTGAAATCTCCACCTACACTCAGCCCTCTGCTCTTCACGAGGTCCTCCCCGGCCGTCCTACATACACGACAAACCCCCTCCTGCCCCCCCACCCAGGCCTGGCTCTTTGCCATAGCACTTACCACCTTCGAATACACTCAGTCATTTACTTATTTACAGCATTTTGTTATCGTTTGTCTCCCTTAACTCCCACTCAAGAAGAGAAGATTAAAAAAGAATATAAGCTTTATGAAGGAAGGGATTTCTCCTGTGATGCTCACTGATGAATTCCCCATCGACTAGAAAAGTACCTGGCACACGCTCGGCACATGCTAGGTGCTCAAAAAATATGTGTCGAATGGAGGAATAGAGGAATGGGAAGGACACAAAATATAAACTCTCCTCAGTCAGCAAATTCAAAATCCCTTGCCAACTTCATAAGGTTTGGAGTAATTTTACATTTTTCCTCAACGTAAAAGCCTAGAGTTCTGAGACTTACCACAGCATAGGAGAAGAGGAAGATGGTGTCAAGTGTTCCGAGGAAAAGAGTGGCTTCCTCTGCACTGGGAAACAAATGGTTGCTGCTCCAGATCTGCAGTCACACAAGAACCAGTCAGTCCCACAGGTCCAAAGCACCTACACACACAACTACCACCCACCCCCGCATCACCAGGTGGTGATACTGAAAAGAGCAAATCAGCATTCTGTACATAAGGAAACACATATGCGAAAAAGGTCCACAAGGCCAAAATCATTTGCATAACACTAAAATGTTATTTGCTTTTTCCCTTTAACGTTTCCATTGATGGTGCAAAAGCAGTGGTGGGTAAAACTCCTGTGCCTTAGCACGGATCAAGGCGGTTACACAACTGTACTATTATATATATACATTTTTTTAAATTAATTTATTTAGTTAGTTTTGGCTGCGTTGGGTCTTCGTTTCTGTGAGAGGGCTTTCTCCAGTTGCGGCGAGCAGGGGCCACTCTTCATTGCGGTGCGCGGGCCTCTCACTATAGCGGCCTCTCGTTGCGGAGCACAAGCTCCAGACGTGCAGGCTCAGTAGTTGTGGCTCACGGGCCCAGTTGCTCCGCGGCATGTGGGATCCTCCCAGACCAGGGCTCGAACCCGTGCCCCCTGCATCAGCAGGCAGACCCCCAACCACTGCACCACCAGGGAAGCCCCACAACTGTACTATTAATCGCTGTATTCTTTAATGTCGCGCAGTTTAAAAAAAAAAGGCAATTTCACGTAAGAATGTCCTTGGCACATGCTAGACGTTCAATAAATATTTGTCGAGCAGTAAAAATTATTGATTTTATTAAATCTGGCCCCTGAGTACATTTTTTAAAATACTTCGTGTGATGAAGCAGAAAATATGCATACAGCACTTACGCACACCAAAGTATGATGGCTATCTTGAGAAAACTGTCTGAGCTGCAAGCTGGAATGTCATTTTTACTTGAAAGAGTGACTGACAAACAAACCCTAGTTATTCAGATTTGGGTATTTGGCAGATATTTCCTCAGAAAAGAATGAAATGAGCCTGTCACTTCAAGATCCATTCAAAGTACAAGACAGACAAATGGATCTTAATGCAAGTGTATAAAAAAGTTAATGAATACAGTTTCAGATTCCACATTGTAACTAACCTTTAAGAAATTGCCTCTTGTCAAATTCTCATGTAGTATCAAAGACAAATATCCACAATTAACAAAAAAGGCTATTAAAATACTTCTCCCCTTCCTACTATGTATCTGTGAAAGCCAAATTCTCTTCATATACTTTAAAGGATCAAGCTGCAAGCGACTGAATTCAGAAGCAGACATGAAAACCCACTGTCTTCTGTTGAGCCAGACATGAAGAGATTTGCAAAAATGTAAATCAATGCCACTCTCCTTATTAAGTGATTTTTTTCCATTTTGAAAAAGTCATTTTTCACTAAATGTTATTTATGTTAACGTGTTATAGGTTATTTAGTTCATTTATAAATAATTTAAAACCAATGTAGTTTTCTTCAATGTCTTGGTTTTAATTTCTAAAACAGTAAGTCTCTATAAATACAAACCCATAGCTCTTTGGGGTCTCCAGACCAAAAAAAGTTGTTATACTAAATGATTTCTGAGATAGGTTATTATAGAAAATTTGACTTTGGAATATTAAAGAGAAAAATCACAACCGGCAACTTAAAATACACTCTACCTTCTAACAGAAAGTAAAATCCCCAAATTGTAAAAGAATATATAAAGTGTGATCCTAAAGCATTGTGACTCACTTCCATGAGGCTTAACGCCAACAGTCTTGTTACTTTCCCTCACACACTGCTTTCATGAGCGATAAGAAAGCAGCCCACACGGCTGAGACCCATCAGTATTTCAGTGTGCCAACTTGGGGCCCGAAATATCTCCAGTTAGAGTTATTTTGCCACCTTCCTCTCTAACTGCAATCTTTGATCCCTGATGCCATCCAGGCTCAACAGGACCCAGAATTAAGCCCTAGGGGGCACACACCAGTGTGAGGAGCTCACATTCAAGCAGTTGCTCCAAGTTTCAGGGTTTTTTTCTTTTTTCTTCTTCTCTTACTAGAAGCCACCAAAATCTCCCTGCAGGTGTGGCTGACCCAAAAACTGACAGGTTTCAAACAGCTTTTTTCTGTTTAAAATTCAGCTGAAATACACTTCTGACTGCCTACTTAACAAGTGTAAACAAACCCCAAAACTTAAAAAAAAAGCAGGACTAACAAAAAGATTCAGAAAATAGGATAAAAGAGAAAAGGCTAGTGAAGAAAGTTAACATCGATAATACAGCTATACGAACAGGGGAGAAGATGACTGTCTTGAGGAAAACTGTGTGAGTCGCAAGATGAAAAGTCATTTTTACTCGTAAGAGTGACCGACAGACAAACCCTAGTTATTCAGATTTGGGTATCTGGCAGATATTTCCTCAAAAGAGAATGAAATGAACCCGAAGGTCATCAACAAAGTGACTTTAAGGTGCTCAAATCTCACCTGCTGGCCTGCACATATGCACAATTGCCATGTGAAAGGACCGGCCTGTATGTGTGGAGGCCTTTCTTGTGTTGTCAGGGGAGGGCCTGCATTAAGCTACGACAACCGCTACACATTGGGGCACTTCCAGGAAACACAAAAGGTCACAGTGTGGGTTTCCTAAGTGAGAATGTTTATCACTGAACTATAGCTATGCACGGGGGTGGGGAAACTGACATGAAAGCGCTTCCTGAAGCGGCGCTCGGAGGAAAGCTGAAGCTGACTTGTGGTCGGGGTCAGGTATCTGTTGCTGTGAGAATCTGAGTAAGAGCAGCTGTGGCCGAGGTTGAGCTGGAATGTTGAGGGCACCTCGAATCCTGCTTTCCTCTCCTGGAGAGAAGTTTAGACTCTCTTACACTATTCCCTACACCCTGGAAGGACTGTGCTGTCTGGAGAGTTATGACTTTTTAACTTAATGGAACAAATTTTTGTTTACAATTTTCAATCAAGTTGTCCTCAAATCTTAGATTCAACCATTTCCTCTTCGTTATCTATAAAGAGAGATTTTATATCATGATCTCTTACTATGTCCAATGTTTGCCCATGTCAGTGGGATCCATTATAAAATCTCAAGGTATACAGACTGGGTCTGCTTAATTTTTTTGTAAAGCACCTAAGATAGCTATGCATAAACATGAAAGCTATAATAAGCACTTTTTGAGGATGCTGTTTAGGGCACTTAAGAAATGTTAAAAAACATATATAAACAAAATGTTTTTTAGAGTTGACTCATTTTACGTATATTTCCGGTTCTAGGAACGTTTCCACTTTGGACAAGAAAGTAAGTCTCCAAAGGAAGCTAGAGTTAAGATAATTACAGACCCAGAAGCACAGAAGGAGTGAAAGGTACATACTGCCCTAGCCACTCTGCTCCCAGCAGCAGGCTTCAGGAAAGAAAAAACCTGGATTTTAAAGTCTACAGAAGGGAGTGGAAGGTTGGCACTGCTCTCTATGAGGGCAGGTATGGAAATACAAAGACCTCCAAGATAAGTCAGAACCCAACTTCTACATAATCAATCCATCCAAGCTACTGAGTACATAGTTCTGAAAGATCAGAATGGTGAAACCTACTTCAATAAGCAGCAATTAGAATAAGTAAGTAAATATCTTAGCGGGAAAATTAATGCAAGTTCAACACAAGCTAATAATGTGACACGGTCACTGGCAGGAAAGAGTTACCATAGCAGACCTGATATGTACCCTTAACAAGGCCTACTTGAAAGGCTGGCCCCTGGAAACTTGGATCTTGGGAGGGTTCCCATCATTCCCTGCTAAGAGTGGCTCCCTGTACCTAAACTGTCTGTCCAAACAATATGGTTTGTGCTGAACACCTGCTTTCCTTATGGGAATGTGGAATTTTCATATGTGCCAGGCAGAGGGTGCCTACATGACTAGCCCCAGTAAAAACCCTGCCACCAAGTCTCTAATGGGCTTCCCTAGTAGACAACATCTCACCAGAGCTGTCATGACTTGCTGCTGGAAAAATTAAGCACATCCATATTATTGCACTGGAAAGGGACTCTTGGAAGGTTTTGCCTGCTTTCCTCTAGACCTTACCCTATGTGCTTTTCCCTTTGCTGACTTTGCTCGGTATGCTTCACTGCAATAAACCATAGTTTTGAGTCATATGCTGAGTCCTATGAGTCCCCCTAGTGAATCATCAAACCTGGGGGTGGCGCTGGGGATCTCCAACCCAGTCACCTAAAAAACAAAGGCTGTATAACCAGAAATTCAGTGCCTAAATCAAATCCTATTATTCTATATATTGGTCAGCCTGTACCTGAAAGAGCATATTTAGTGCTCTGTGTCACTAAACTACAGCCGAAGGAGCAGGGATGTTTTGCCTCAACATGAGAAATTTAGGGAGACGGATTTTCCTCAAATATTTAACAGGCTGTCCTACAGCATGAATCAACTTAGTATGCACGGCTCAGGATAAAACCTAAGATCAAAATTAAACAGCAGAACACTCTTACCTCACTATAAGAAAGAACTTCCTAATAATGAGAGTTAAATAAAAATGTAATCGTCCACCTAGAAAACAGGGAGTTTCTTCTCCCTGAAGTATTAAAGCAGAAGCTAGGTGGTCATCTGTCAATAATGACAAAGAAGGATTCTATACCATTTGAGAGGTTAGGGCATATGATCTCTCTAAGGCCACTTCACCTTGAGGGTCTGTGACGAGTCAGTTAGTGATCATTCAGACGTAGTTACCGTGCACACAACACTGGTCAAGGCTCCGTCAAGAAATGTAGCTGTCTAGTCTTAAAGCCTCCCTTTTAAAAGTCCTTGATTAAAAAAAAAAAAGTCCCTGATAACTTCAATTCCAGAAAAATTGTTCAAGAGCATTTCCACTACAATGTCAGCTCCATGAGGACAGGCTCTTTTCTTTTTTTAATCCTCTAGGCTTTTATTGATTGACTGATTAATTGATTGTATCCTCAGTGCAAGACAGACTGAATAAGCAATTGACTGAATAACTTATTTACACCTCAGGGTATATTCATATAACCTTCGAATCTCTGTCAATTTTGAATTGGTCCAAATAGGGGAAATAATTTTTAAGAAATAAAAATGCGGGGCTTCCCTGGTGGTGCAGTGGTTAAGAATCCCCCTGCCAATGCAGGGGACACGGGTTCGAGCCCTGGTCCGGGAAGATCCCACATGCTGCGGAGCAACTAAGCCCCTGAGCCACAACTACTGAGCCTGCGCTCTAGAGCCCATGAGCCACAACTACTGAGCCCGTGGGCCACAACTACTGAAGCCCATGTGCCTAGAGCCCGTGCTCCGCAACAAGAGAAGCCACTGCAATGAGAAGCCTGCGCACCACAACAAAGAGTAGCCCCCACTCACCACAACTAGAGAAAGCCCGCGCGCAGCAACAAAGACCCAACGCAGCCAAAAATAAATAAATATTTTTAAAAGTGCAAAGCATATTAACATATACCTATAATTCCACGTAAGTAGAGCTCAAACAACATAGTAAAGTTTGACAGGTATGGATTTTTGTATTGAAATATGGCATCATAAAGAATAGCATCTCCAGGACTTCCCCGGTGGCGCAGTGCTTAAGAATCCGCCTGCCAATGCAGGGAACACGCACTCGAGTCCTGGTCCGGGAAGATCCCACATGCTGCGGAGCAACTAAGCCCGTGCACCACAACTACTGAGCCTGCACTCTAGAGCCCATGAGCCACAACTACTGAAGCCGCCGAGCCTAGAGCCCGTGCTCCACAACAAGAGAAGCCACCGCAATGAGAAGCCCGTGCACCGCAATGAAGAGTAGCCCCCACTTCCCGCAACTAGAGAAAGCCTGCACGCAGCAATGAAGACCCAACGCAGCCAAAAATAAATAAATTTATTTAAAAAAAAGAAGAGCATCTCCATTCCAAACAGTCATCAAAGAATTTACTTGGTCCAAAATGAATATAAGAGGGAATTCCCTGGAGGTCCAGTGGTTAGGACTCGGCACTTTCACTGCCAGGGCCTGGGTTCGATCCCTGGTCAGGGAACTAAGATCCCGCAAGCCACACGGCACAGCCAAAGAACAAAAACAAAACAAACAAACAAAAACGAATATAAAACTGGATACAGACTCCCTGACTTCAAGTCACTTAAACAAGATAAAAACTAGTGAAATGATTATGAAGTACATAAGTACCTCGACATTAAACTATGTAATATGCAGTGCATATTACAGTGCACAGTTCAGGAGGGGAAAAAAAAAATCAGCAGAAGCTGGGAAAAAAATTTGATAGAAAAAGTGGCATTTTATCTTGACACAAAGGAAAAAGCAAAATTTAGATGGGTGTAAGGAAGGTGAAAGATCATACAAAAGAATACAGGCAAAATCTCAAAGGCAGAAATGAGCATGGTACTTGTGAAACTCAATGAAAAAACCAGCCTAGCCAGAATTGTGTGATTTCAAAACAGTGAGAAATAAGTTGGTTGAAATGGTAAAACAGACCTGAATCAGGGCAAGCTAAGAAATCAGGCAGATTAGTTCAAATTTTATGCCATAGGAAATAGTAAGCCATCCTAAGGATGAATGAAACAAAACAGAACTTAGAAGAATTTATGGGTGGGCACCCCAGCGTTTCATTCCGCTTACCTCTACAGGCAGTTCAATTGACTTGTTAAAAGCACTTGGGGTCCACTGCTTAGAGATACTGACTTTGACATTGCTAAATGTTTTTCTTGACGCGTGGAGCAACGAGTAACTACAAAAGAGAGAAGAAAGACAGCTGAATGGAAGAAAAACAGATTCAATAAAATCACAGATATATTCCCATTTGTTTTATACAACTTGGAATTCTTCTTCTAAAAAAGAGAAATTCAGAAAGAAAGAGAGAGAGAAAGAGAGAGAGAGGGAAAGAGGGAGGGAAGGAACTGCTTTATAAGAACTATCCACTGAAACAGTCTCTGCTAAGCAAAGAAACAATTGACTTGTCTTCTTCAGTATGAGCCCCCATGTTCACTCATAACATGTCTCTGGACCTAGAAGATGGAGGTGTGATGGACTGCAACCCCTTTATATCATGGTTGCAGTTCTGTAAAGGATTTTAAGTCTTTACCAACCACTGGCCACTCATTGCACTAGCCATTCAGTGGCTTTTTACTTGGGGCCTGTCTTTTCCTCATACTGATGCCTCCCTCAACCCCTCACAAATGGATTTCCCCTAAAGCAAACATCCAAAATTACCTATCAACTCTTACACAATTAGAAAACCATTTTCCTAGTTTCTGCCTTAAAAAAAAAAACAACCATCATCATCATTTGCGGTGCCTTCAATAAAGATTAATTATAAATAAAATGTATTCAGAAGAAATAATTGAAATAGTTGAGTCACAGGGTTATGAAAAACGTGCCCTTAACACCAAAGAGCCTGGCTGAAGTCATCTACAGACCACTAAAGAGAGCCACTGAAGGCCACTGAGTCAGACGTGGACGATTCTTCAGTCACACTGACTGGTCAGGCTCTCACACGAGTGACCGAAGTTCCTCAAAGAGGTCTCCTACCACCTTTACTGCTCAAGGAGGCATAGAGCATTCCCTGAATACACACATCCTTTGTCCGCAAGCTCCTGGTTTTAACAATTAAAGGACTTTATGTTAGAGCAAGGTTTTTCAATCACAGCAGTACTGATATTTTGGGCCCCCCAAATTCTCTATTGTCGGGGGCTGTCCCGTGCACTGCAGGATGTTTAGCAGCATCCCTGGTCCCAACCCACTAGATCAAAGTAGCACCCCTTCCCCCAGCGTGACAACTAAAAATGTCTCCAGACATTGCCAAGTATGGGCAAGACAACCCTCGAGGACCACTGTATTAGAGCTATCATAAAGTACTGCAGAAGGACTAGCTGGTCCAGCTCATGATTAGCCCAGGCCAATCACTGCATTAAGCACTTGACATGCAATAAATAGCTCCTTCAAAAGGAAAACAAGAACAACAAGAGAAGAGTTTCAGTGGTCCACTTACCTGAAGAAGGTGAGCAGGAACACCACCACATGATGATGGCTGAACTGGGAGAGCAGAGCTCCTCTTTGAAAAATATTTGGCCAGGCCATGTTCCTCCTGACCTTCCTTCTCACCTTGACCTTAAAGTCGGGATAGTGAATGGTTTACATCATTTCTTCTTTCTGGAAAAACAAAACACATTATTAACATTACTCATAATAGGCATATTATCCAAAAACAGAATTATTTAGACTTACAACCAGTCACTGTATAATCAGGCCTAGAAAAAAAAAATTACGTGGATTAGTTGACACCAGAAAACTAGATTGATAATTATGTTTTACAGCTATTAACTAGTCCTTTTAAAAGAAATCCTTGGGGATTCCCTGGTGGCGCAGTGGTTAAGAATCCGCCTGCCTATACAGGGGACACGGGCTCGAGCCCTGGTCGGGGAAGATCTCACATGCTGCAGAGCAACTAAGCCCATGCTCCACAACGACTGAGCCAGCGCTCCAGAGCCCGCAAGCCACAACTACTGAAGCCCGCGCACCTACAGCCGGTGTTCTGCAACAAGAGAAGCCACCGCAATGAGAAGCCCGTGCACCACAACGAAGAGCAGCCCCCACTAGAAGAGTAGACCCAGCTCGCCGCAACTAGAGAAAGCATGCGTGCAACAACAAAGACCCAACACAGCCAATAAATAAATAAATAAATTTATTATTTTAAAAAAAAAAAAGAAAAGAAATCCTTGACGAAAGATTACCTCCTAACAGAATGAACTCCCATACAAACTGATAAGAAAATCACTAATTCTGACTGGAAAATGAGGAACGGAAATGAACAGACAACTCAGAAGAAATGAAATGTCTATTAAACTTATCAAATAAGAGTTCCAATCTCATTAGAACATAAGAAATGCTTATTATGGTAACAAAAAAAGTTTGCATAGTTAAAAAAGACTGTGCTCAATGCAGCTCAAGGTCTAATGATCCTGAACTCTCATACATGCTGATGGAAGCGAAAAGTAACACAATTTTATAGGAAGACGATCCGGCCATGTGCATTGAGAGCCTTTGACACAAAAATTCAATTTGCAGGGATTTATTCCTAAAGAAATACAAGATGCATTCAGCTCTATACACAAAGGTAGTTTTCACAAAAAGTCGGAAGAGCTCTCTTATATGGAGAAATGAACTTTGTGCCAGTCATAAAGGAACAGGGGAAAGAGACAGGGCCACACCTCTGCCATCTCTTTCCACTTCCTCTCACCTCTCCTCTGTCCTCTCGGAAAGCCACATCCACACTCTGACACCAAGACTAATTAAGCATAAAGTAAGCACCTACACTTAATGTCTCCAGCTATGAGTCTGCAGAAACAACCTAAACATGCAATAAGAGGGGAATAATTAAACAAATTACGGTATATGCAAATGGCTGAATATTTTATCATTTGACATTATGATTAAGACTTTATAATAACATGAGTAAATGGCAAGCGAAACATGTAGGATATGACTTATAATCAACTGAACTCTAGATTTACATAATATTTACAAGTAAACAGGGAATATATAGTTCTCTCTAGGCAGCGGGATTATGGGTAATTTTACTTTTCTATATATTTTCCTAAAAATTCTACAATAAACATGTATATTACTTTTATAATCAGGAGGGAAAACATCCACAGCATTGTAAAAGTCCTATAGTTTATCTGCATATTAGGAAAAAATAAAATTAAATTAACAGGGGCTTTGCTGGTGGTGCCGTGGTTAAGAATCCGCCTGCTAATGCAAGGAACATGGGTTCAAGCCCTAAGAAGATCCCACGTGCTGCAGAGCAACTAAGCCCGTGCGCCACAACTACTGAGCCCGTGCTCTAGAGCCCGCGTGCCACAACTACTGAGCTCATGTGCCACCACTACTGAAGCCTGGACGCCTAGAGCCCGTGCTCCGCAACAAGAGAAGCCACCACAATGAGAAGCCCACGCACCACAACAAAGAGTAGCTCCCGCTCGCCGCAACTAGAGAAAGCCCGCGTGCAGCAACGACGACCCGACGCAGCCAAAAACAAATAAATTAAAAACAAAAACAGGGCTTCCCTGGTGGTGCAGTGGTTGAGAATCTGCCTGCCGATGCAGGGGACACAGGTTCGTGCCCCGGTCCGGGAGGATCCCACATGCCACGGAGCGGCTGGGTCCATGAGCCATGGCCGTTGAGCCTGCGCATCCGGAGCCTGTGCTCCGCAACGGGAGAAGCCACAACAGTGAGAGGCCCGTGTAGCGCAAAAAAAAAAAAAAAAAAAAAGCTTTAAAAAAAAATAAATTAACAAAATACCTTGTATGATAAACATACTACAATAATAGTCAAGGTAGGAGACAAACTCAAAAGCTTCCAGCACTAAAATTAGTGAACCACAGGACTTTGCCCAAGGTTGTGTTCCCTGTAACTGCTATTTATACTCCTGTTCTCTATTACAATTTATACTACTGATTGGTAGATGAACCCAAAACCTTAAATGCTGAAAGACCCAGCTGAAAGGCCATTCTTTTTGTTTGTTTGTTTGTTTGTTTTTGCGGTACACAGGCCTCTCACTGCTGTGGCCTCTCCCATTGCGGAGCACAGGCTCCGGACGCGCAGGCTCAGCGGCCATGGCTCACGGGCCTAGCCGCTCCGCGGCATGTGGGATCTTCCCAGACCAGGGCACAAACCCGCGTCCCCTGCATCGGCAGGCAGACTCTCAACCACTGCGCCACCAGGGAAGCCCTGAAAGGCCATTCTGGAAACTTTTGGATAAAAGATACAAAGTTGAGATGGTTAAAGTTATATAAACATTATAGCTGATTCACTTACTGGCTGTGAGCCCTTGGACACATCAATCTCTCTGAAGCACAGATTGTCATGTGTAAAATGGCCTATCTCTTCTGGGACCAAAATAAACAATGCATGTAAGGTATTAAGATAATTATTTTAGTCACTGATCTGCCCAGGGTTAATCCCACATCAGGAGAATATAGTTAATTTCATATAATCATTCTCCTTGAAAAATGTTAAAACAAAATTATGAGCCAAGTAAGACAACAAATTTCCACTCACAAAATGTAAATAAACTTTCTGTCTGTAATTCCAGGAAGTTACAAACCCGAGAGCTACTAGTGTTACTGCTAAATTTACCTCTATCCCCCAAATTAAACATGACACCCAAGCGAAACAGCTCAAAGTTTTAACCATTCTTTGTAAGTCACAGCTCTTTGACCTGAACACACTCACAACTCAAAACACTGTGCTGAATACTTCAGAAAAGGCTGTGGGTTATGAAATTCTACAATTAATTAGGTAAGAGAATAATTCCAAAAATGTATGCTCCAACAGATCGGAATTACTTGTTTCGGCAATGATGGTTGTGGATTTCAGGCCTGTACCGTTACATTAATGGTGCTAAATGACTACCAAGCTGTTTGAGACCATCTGGATTTAGTTTCTAAATAAACCACCTTTTCCTTAGCTACAGTGACAGGGAAGAAAATGCTTAATAAGTTCAATGGGAAAAGAGTTTAAACATTCATCTGATGTTGGCAGAATGCCATTTAAAATGAATACTATTATAACATCTGGTCCTATATAATTAATCATTAATAACAATACCTTGCATTTATAGGTCCTACATCACAGAAGTGATTTCTGATCATCTGTGAGCTCTGGAGCCCTGCAGAAGCACAGAGTTTTTGCCAAGTCTGACTCTATTAAGCACATCCTACTTTTAGACCATTTTCTTTCCGGCTCTGAATACAGACTGAACAAATGTCTAACATTTTTCAAGCGTATGTAAATGCTGTTATAATTAATAAAGCCAAAATTCATTTTAACTGTTTCTGAATAGAAGCTCGTCATTTAGTATTTTCTTAATCCATGGATACTAAATATACAACTGTCATGTGAGAACAAGAATGACCTTAAAAAAAAAAAAAAACTTATAAAAAGTAAGATCCCTGCCATCAAAAAGGATGCAGAACCATTGAGCCCTATTCTACTTTTCAAGGCGAGTTCATGATCATTAACTCATCTGACTTGTAAGAAGCTTTCTGAGATCCTATAGGATCACCCACACAATATACTTTCCAGGATGGAACACTCCATATTGTGTGATGGAGGCTAAATAAAAAGATGGCTTCACATGTGACATGCCCAGGCAGAGGGCAATCTCCCCCTTATAAACACTGCCTTGGAATATAAAACATTCCCCAAATTTCACTTTCCATACATATTTAGAGTCCATTCCAACTCAAAATAGTAAGATGTAAAGCTGTCTTGTAGGGACTTCTCTGGTGGCGCAGTGCTTAAGAATCCGCCTGCCAATGCAGGGGACACGGGTTCAATCCCTGGTCCAGGAAGATCCCACATGCTGTGAAGCAACTAAGCCCATGCACCACAACTACAGAGCCTGCGCTCTAGAGCCCGCGAGCCACAACTACTGAAGCCCAGGCGCCTAGAGCCTGTGCTCTGCAACAAGAGAAGCCACCGCAATGAGAAGCCCACGCACCGCAACAAAGAGTAGCCCCGGCTCTCCGCAACTAGAGAAAGCCCATGCACAGCAACGAAGACCCAACGCAGCCCAAAATTAATTAATTATTAAAAAATAATAAATAAATAAAGTTGTCTCGTATTAGGAACACTTTGGGGGAAACAGACTGCGGAGTGGAAAGGGGAGAGACTGGCAGAAAAAGAGATCACCTGCCACCTCCATCTCATCGGACCCATCCTCACCCCACCCCCACTGGAAGGAAATGCTCTCTGGAAATGGAGAGAAGCAGTTAATCTATTTCTCCATACTATGACCCTGTTCTGCGAGTTCTTGCCTTTCCTACCCTGGCGGACTCCTGCCTGCCCCCAGATAACACTGCTTCGATAGCACTGCTTCCTCTGGGGTCTCTCAGCGAGAAGCAATCTTCCTTTTCATAACCACTCTTCCTCCTTGCGAGACCCCAGCTTCTCCGAAGCTCCTGGGCCTCGCTGCCCACTGCCCTTCACAGCCGTTGTCTCCTGGTCACCTGCTGTCCCCGCTCTGCTCTGTCTCATGTCAACACCCAGATGGGTAACCTAGCAGACCCTTGTCCTCTTCCCACCAATCTTTTCCTCTATCCCACAAGCAAAACCCACTCCGTGGTCAAAACCCGGCCCGTGTCATCTACTAAGCAGTAAGTGCATCACCTCCCAAACTGCATTTCAAACATCTTGCTTTGTCTCCTTCCAGAAAACTGCTTACTTCATACTCCCCACTCCAAAGTCATTTTACCTCAGCAAGCTCCCAATTAGGTCACCTCCCCATTTTTTCCCTTCATCCATGACCCTCCTCCTGTCCTCATTCCCTTCTTTCCCAACTTAGAATCTGGACTATCTCCCTTATGGGCCTTTTTTTCCTCGCTTGCCTCTGGCCTCCTCCCCTGGGCCCAAGTGGTTGAGTTTTGCCAGAGAAAAATTAAAGGAGCGGGCTGGTTTCACTTTTCAGATTCAAAACCACAAACCTCAGAGGGCATGCAGCTCTGCCCATTAAGTCCACACTTGCCTAAGGACCTGCTTTCTCAACACCTAAGATAACGCACTTACACTTCTCTCTCTAAACTTCCAAGCTCTCTGTCCCCTTCATCTGGTACCACGGCTTTCTGCCTATGATTCCCAGAGCGCCAGCTCTAACTCAGACCCTCCAGGGCTCCCAGCGGCACAGCCAACCAACCACTTGAGAGCCCTCCTTGGAACTAAAAGACAATTTCACAATTCTTCACTTCCTCCCTCCACACCCATTCGTCCCCAGCACTGCCCTCACAAGATGGTACCACCAAGGCAACTAACACTTAGCCCTCATTTCTCCTTTCCTCTCCGCTTCCACATCCAACCCATTACTAAATCCAGTCCTTTTCACCCCAAAATTCAGCCCAAATCCATCCTCTTCTCCCCATCCCCACAGCCACTGCCAAGGTCAACCACCCATATCTTCTACCAAGCCTAGTGCAACAGCCTCCGGCAGGGTTTCACTATTTTACATCTAGCACACACACAGCCCCCTGCTGCCCATCACTCTTCACACATCAGCCAGAAACATATCTTAAAACATAAATCAGCTGTCATTCTTCTGCTTAAAATGCCTTCTTCACGGTTTCCCAAGACTCATATAAAACCACAAGTTTTGCCGTGGCCTCCAAAACCTGTATGCAGTAGATGCTATACACATACGGTAAAAAGTTCAAAGGGTATATACTCGGTGACACCTCCCTCCCTGTTCTCACGTCACCCGGGGCTCCTACCATTGCTTCTGCGTTCTTGCAGAATGGTAGAAAGTTCAAAGGGTATATACTCGGTGACACCTCCCTCCCTGTTCTCACGTCACCCGGGGCTCCTACCATTGCTTCTGCGTTCTTGCAGAATCTGCACCTGCGCGTGCATTCCAGGCGTAGCCCCACACTCACACATACACAAATGGGAGCATACAACACACACTATCCTGCACCATTTTTTCTCTTCACTTATCAGAGGGTGGAGGTCCACCCCATCTGCACCTACAGAGCTGCCGCAGTCCAGTCTCCTGCGGGACATCTGGGTGGGTCCCAATCCTTTGCCGCTGTACACAGCATGGAGCTAGCCGTTTCCTTCTCCTCTGTGCCCCCCCTTGCTCCGCCCCCCACCAGCATCACTCCTCCACACGGCTACCATCTCCCTAGCACCCGATCCCTTTCTTGCCCCTGAACACACCAAGCCCTTCCTTGCTTTGGGACTTCGCATTTGCTCTTCTGTTGTCTGACATGCTTTCCTCCTGGTTCTTTGCAAATGGCTTGCTCTTGCCTTTCCCTGGCTCAGCCTCAAGTGTCATCCGCTAGAGTGGCTGCCTGGATCGTCCTATCTAAAATGGGCTCCCTCCGATACTACCTCTCCCATCTCCATCTGCTTTTTCCCTTCACAGCATTTCTCCCAATCTTATTATCTGCTTTAATTGTTCACATGTTTATTGTTCATCTGTAAGTTCCACACCTGTCTTAACACCACAGCTATAACCCCAGGGCCTAGCTGAGCATTTAGAATGATCAGTAAAGATTTTCTGAATGAATGAATGCTTTGACTGATGACTGACACTGAATGCTTTCAAAGTGCCAGGCCCTGTGCTAGGTACTTACCATGTGCCATTGCATTTAGTTCTCACCATATCTTACAGATAAAAAAATGGATTTTAGAAAGTAATATCTCTTAGGAGGTGAAAGGAGCATTCAAACCCAGACCTGACCCTAGACCCTACGTTATACTGTGTAAGAGGGAAGGTTAAAATATCCCAAGTTGGGTAAAACACAGTAACTAAAAATATCACACATTAAACATGGAAGTATAGATGCAGGATGGAAAAAAAGCACCTTATTAGTAACTGTGGTTCTCGCACACGCTTAAATAAGAAGGGCAATTACTTCACTCCCTAGACTTCAGTTTTTATGTTTGCAAAGTAAAATGATTATGTATACTCAGTATAAAGAGGTAGGGGGAAAAGTACTAAATGGATAGTTGAGCTCACCTATTGTGACAGCTGTGCATTCTGTAATTTACACAAGTATCTTTTTTATCCCACATGACCTCATTTGAGGTCGTTTCCCTGTATCATGTAAATCCTTTTATTCGAAACTCAAGTCTTCCTGTAATTTGTCTCTCTTCTTAAATTGTTCCTTACCACAGCTGTAAAATACCTAGCACTTTTCTGTAAAATTCTCTCAGGGTTCCCCAAACCACGTTCTTCCTACCTATTTTGAACATATTCCAAAGACAACAGTTTTCAAGATAAAAATCTTTCCCTCTCCTAGACAAAGGACTTATACTCAAGTTAATGGTCATTGCTGTGACATCTCCTTACCACTGGTGAAAAAGACAAATCAGAACCTGAGACAATGACTAATACACTGGATCCTGACAGCTAGTGAGCAACAAGACAGTGCACCGACTTTGAGCTTATGAAAGTATCATTTCAGGGTTATTTTCTGATGCAGAGACCAGATATCAAAGATTAATAGAAGATTGTCATCTGAAGCCACAACATGGCCCACACAAAGGCATGAAAGTTCCAGTTGGAATTCAAGACCCTCCACTTAACTTCTTTGAGTCTCAATTCCCTCACTGAAAGATTAAATGAGACAATTTATCTAAGTACAGCACCTGGGGCTTCCCTCGTGATGCAGTGGTTAAGAATCCACCTGCCAATGCAGGGGACACGGGTTCGAGCCCTAATCCGGGAAGATCCCACATGCCGCGGAGCAACTAAGCCCGTGCGCCACAACTACTGAGCCTGTGCTCTAGAGCCCGTGCTCTGCAACCAGAGAAGCCAATACAATGAGAAGCCCGCGCGCCGCAACTAGAGAAAAGCCCGCACGCATCAATGAAGACCCAACGCAGACAAAAATAATTTTTTAAAAAAGACCCAACGCAGCCAAAAATAAATTAATTTAGTAAGTAAGTACAGTGCCGGGCATACAGCAAACATTCAACAAATGGGAAAAAAAAGAATTCAAGCATCAAAACGCTGAAGAAAAAAGGTGGCCATTAAGAATCATATTTTGCTCACCCCAGGAACTCCCTACAATCCTTTCAGTAAGTTATCAGGAGATCGCCTAGTTTCTGGAAACACCAAAAACCCTGTGGACAAGTTCCCATAATCCCATGAGACGTGAGAATAAACAGACCACATTGTGCACACAAGAATACTGAGTTAAAGACGAAAAAGCGATCAGATAAATTCCTGACCGAAACCGTGGTAGTTACCAAAAGGCAAAGCCCAGTTATTCCACTAAGACCCTTCTCCCTCTGTGGCCTCACTACATCCTCTCCAAAAGCCTGCCCGCCCTACCTGTGAGGTACCCTTCCACCTGGACTAAACGACAAACCCTTTTCTTGCACAGGCGCCCCCGCCACGGCGCTGGCGTGGGGCCCTCCCGACCCTCCCGCTCCCCTCCGCTACGGTACTCGCCGGCCCGCTACGGTACTCCGCCGGTCCCGGAGCACCTGGGCGCCGAGGAGCCAGGCCCAGCGTGGACGGAACGAGGGGTGGCCGGCCTTGCCCGCGGCGCCACACCCACCGGCCGCCACCTTCTGCCTCTCCGCCCCGTCCCCTCGTCGCCTGGGAGTTCCTCGGACCTGCCCTCGCCTGCGGCGCCCCTCACCCCCGCCCCAAGCCGGGTTCCCGCCCTTCTCGGCTCGGGCCCGGCGCGTCGCCGCTCGCGCACCCGAGTCCGCAGTAGCAGTCGCGCTTCGGCCGGCCGGCAGCTCCTCTCGCTCCGCCACGCCCGCAAGCTTGCCACTCCCGCCGCCACCTCACCGGCGCCGCCGCGGCCAGGGTTTCCGGCATTCACGTGACCCGTCGTTACCCGAGGCATGCTGGGAGTTGTAGTCCGACCGCGCGGGTTTACCTGAGGGCCACTGGGCAGGGAGGGGAGGGGGAGGGGGAGGGGAGGGGCTGGAGGGGAGGGGAGGAGAGGGAGGGGAGGGGAGGAGAGGGAGGGGAGGGGAGGAGAGGGAGGGGAGGGGAGGAGAGGGAGGGGAG